TCGTGCAGTAAGGATCCGGCGAACAAAGATTTCCAAGGAAGCATCCAGCGAATCCTGGCGCAGCTCGTCAGCCTGGTCCGAGTGACTGCCGGACCCCGGGGTTGAAAAGCAGGCAAAGCGCCTAAGCCCTAAGCTTCACCAAACCTCCATCTGATTTACGGAATGCTGTTGGTGCCTCCTGCGTTCCGAGGGGCTCATCCCCGAAGCACTGCAGGCCTTACAGAACTGCATGCTTTGGACGCCGTCCACAACGACAGGCAACAGACGGATGGTATTCTCAGCACACCATGAACCTCTGCCGCGGAGAAGCGGAGCGGCCGCAGGTCCGTTTCAGGTGGCCGGCATGGCAGAGTAGTTAATCGAGAGTCCAGGTTTTTTCTGCGGTATCTTTGCTTTTTCTCGGTATTTTTGAATTTCGGACCGACGGACCGACTGACTGACTGCCCGGCGGGCTCGCGGATCGACTGATCGACTGACTGGCTGACTGACTGGGCGCCGGAAGCCATGTAAGCGAAAACCGAAAAGACTACCTACCACACAAACAAAAAACATACCCAAAAAGAACCCCCACCCAATTAATTTCCTGGAATGAAACTAAACTACTATATAGTTCTCGACGGAGAGCCTTCGGCATGTTGTGTGAGGAGTCTACGGGGGAGAGGCAGTTCCCGTGCCTCATATGTTGAGATACGGCCCGTGTGGCGAACTTTGTGCCGGGGTAGCAAGATGCTTTCAAATCCATCAACCACTTCGCAGCACACTGCCACGGTAGGATGCTTGGGATAGGGCTGAGATCGCAGATGTCGGCAAGCTGCTGTGGCTGCAGATGGAACCTGAGATATGATAAGACTTTGGCACTGCTGACTTCTGCAGCTTCTGAAAGCCCCAAAACACCAAAACAAGTTGCGCCAGTTGGGTTTGATCTGTGCTCCTGTACCCCGCTCGGCGCTGGACTTTGGGGCTTGGCCTTGAGAGGTCTTGGCCTTCTTCTTGGTCTCCTCTGCCTCCAACTTCCGAGGTTTTCTTCTCAGTGGGGAGGGCAGGACCACGGTGACAACGGAACGAGAAAGGCCTTGCTGGACCAGAGGTCATAGAGGCTGCTACCGCCGGTGACAGCGCCGTCGCCTCAAGCGGCGGCAGCCGGCAGCATCCGTTGGACCCAGTTTGCTAAATGCCGAAGCCTTCCGTCTCTGCCGTGCCGTCCTTGCAACTCAAAGCCAGGATCTCTTTCATTGTCCTTGGCTCCGGGAGTCCTCGTTCAGTCCCAAGGCCGTCAAGGCTTCCACCTGGTCCTCACCTCGACACCGCAGCATACCGCAGCAAAACAAGCATCCACGCCAAAAGAAAAAAAAAGGAGAGAACGCGGGAAGCCCGGGCCCTAGCCCGGGAAGAGCAGCTCTTGCTTGCGGACCTCCTCGTCCTCCGCATTCTCCTCAACCTTTGCCTACAGGCACTTCAGCAAACGCAAGCTCCCGACACGTCGGACAGGCTCGCCTTTGCGAGCTTGAAGGGTGTAATTGCATCAATGTCCTCCTTGGCCTTGGAGAGCAAGTTGTCGGCACAGCTGGGATCCCTTCTGGGCGAACGACTCGGAGATTCTCGTCTTCCTGATGGAGGATGCTGAGCCTTCTCAGCATCTGCAGAGCCTTTGTTGATTTGTCACTGAATGCTTCCACCGGTTTCCGCTGTCCACTCGGCTTGCAGCAGTTTGCGGAGGCGGAGACTGCAGAGCTCGCCGTGAGAGGGTTGTCCAGCCTGAAGGATGCCATGGCTCTCAGCTAGGAGCTGTCGGACATCTGACGACAGGGGGCTCTGAAACATGAACCTCTCAGGCTGCCGCGGAGCCACCAACAAAGAACCTCCGGATTGTCCAAAGCTTCGTCCACCTGCGTGGTCGACGCGAGTCGCCCGAGTCTAACTCCGTGGACTTGTCATGTGGAACTCTGCTTATCGCGCTCGTGTCGCGAAGAACCGAAGGACCAACTTCATTCTGACGCAACAGCCTAGAGTATTACCTCGGAATCGCCACTGTGCTTTCAACATGTCATGCAGATCTTCCGTCTCGCTCTCGGAAAGCAAAGCAATGAATCGTCCGTGCCTCCACGCCCAGCGCAGCCTGCAGACCTGCACGAACGGCAACGAGCAGCACGTGTCCAGTCTTGTTCTGCAAAAAGCAACACGTGTCCAAGGGCTGAGACCAGCCTCCCGGCTCACTCGCCGGAGCTTGCGGAGCATCTGCAATGCCTGCAGCCGCAACCTCATGAGATTGTGTCTGGCGCACATCTACTTTCGCATGTGAGGCGCTCGGGCCGTACAATCCGAGAAAAGAGCCGCAAGAGCAGATGCTGATTGGTGCTGCCAAAGATGGCGGTGCCTCGAAGCAGTCAGCGGCGCTCGGGCTTTGTACCAAAGCCGACGAAGATGAACACTGAAAAAAGTGAGCTGACGGCAGTAACTGCAGCCCGTGAACAAGCGCCTCGGTTGCTTGCAGAGTGCAGGTTGCATAATGCCAGAGTGCATGAGACGAGTCTTCAGTTGCGCCTGGACTGCCAAAACCACAGGCCCAGCAAGATCAGCATGCAGCGGAAACCTAGAAGTCAGCCTGTGTACCTCAGCCACACTGACGGACTGCTGTAGCGAAGGACAGAAGCACTCCCAAGATCGCAGCAAAGCCCGATGCAGAGCCTCAGAATCTCAGGTCGGGAAACGTCAAGTCTTTGCATCGACGGAGCTGCGTTCTGAGCGGCTGGAGAGATTCTGGAGCTCCGACAGGGCAGAAGGGTCTGGCGCGGCTTCCTAAGACCCAGACTTACAACATCTAAGAACATCTCGCCCCCTTTGGCTTGGCCCGGTGCGGGGTTCGGGAGGATCCGCTGCCTCACGGCCAACACAAAATAGGCCACATACCAACTACGCAGTGGTGGGGCTGGCTGGGGCGGGGACAACCGATCCGGCTGGCAGACCTAAAATCCATCAATCTGCGGGCGTTCGAGGGTTTGCCCATGCCCGTATCTTAAGGGCTCGACAGCCGTGACGAAAGCAGCGACCTCTTGGCAGACATCCTGCGCACTGTTCGATTGAGCTTTGCAGCTGCAAGCTGCGGCTTGGAATGTGTCATGTGCTGTGTCACGGCAGCGGTTCCGAAAGTATTTTGGGAACCTGGAGACATGCGTCTAGTACACGGAGAGGAGATCAACCCCCGAAGCAAAAGGCACGAAAACTTGTATGTGCTCATGGCTGGCCACTTCTTAGGAGTCAGATGCTGTGGCCTTGTAGCTGGGCGGCTGCTGACCTGCGGCCTGTGTCGCCAAGAGAATCAGCCGCACCGTCATGTTCGAGGCGGTTCGGATGAAACTGCAAGCAAACAAATTTCAATTTTCTGGTCGGAAGCCATTGCGATCTACGGGTGCAGGCTGTACAGCACTGAGCGGTTAGTCTTTCGACTGGTTCGCATGCCGCCTGGCCCGCTAGCACTGCCCACCATTCGGTGACGGCGAGGCTTGTTACAAAAACTTCACCTGCGTATACAGGTTCAAGGCAAAGTACCTCCGATAGGAAAACACGAGACACGCAAGACAGGATGTGCACGGTGTGCGAGCAGGCCGAGGCGGACTGATCTGCCGCAAGATTTGTACACTGGTCACTGGGCCACGCCCTTCGCAGTCACATGTCAGGATCTGTTCTTGATGGTTGGTCTCGCAAGATGGTAGCCCGGCGGTCCAGACAGAACTCATCGAAGCAACACCAACACCGTGCTGCTGTCTCAGCCTGCTGGAGGAATCCTGAAAATGTGCTGACATTTCCATGGTACGACTTTGAACTTAGGAACATAATCCCAGGATTTTTCCAGCCTGTAAGTGGGCAGTGTCTCTCGCAGAGTATGGGCTTCTCTTGGACTAGCTTGAATTGCTGTGGCAGACGGGAACCCTGCCGGAGAGAGACACCGCGATGTGTTCAATGGCAAAACAGGCAGTGTGGCTGGGCCACAGTACCGGTGATAAAAAGGCAGCCAACGGCTTACTGCATGAGCTGCCCAGTGGAGCACTGCCACATCTGGAGCCCTTAAGAGTCTAGTGGCCTGGGTCCTGGGTTTCAATTTGTCAGCAGTGCATCCTGGCCCAACAGCAACCAGAAAAGCTCTGACTGCAGGTCACAGTCACAAAGCCCCACGCATCACGTCTCCCAATGAAGGACCTTGGTGCATGGCCGCTGCTGCCAGTCATTGCAGTGACAGGAACTCGAAGACTGTGGTAGTGTCGAGGACCGGCTTTAACTGGAACATCCCGGGCACGTTCGCAACACACGATATGAGCACACATGTCGCAAGTTGGTGTAGCATTTCTGCAGCATTGCTGAGCAGCCTGGACAGGCGGTTAGCGAGTTAGCGGCGTGTCATCCTCCCTTGTTTGGAAATAGCATCACCACCCGAGACTGAATCAAACAGCGTCAACCATGCTAAGAGGGTACCGTCGAGTCATCCCTGTGTCTGTCTTGCTGATATCAGTCCAGGTCATGTTGGCATCGCGGGTTTCACTGGCTACGCCAGAGACCATGAGACAAGGTCTATTCGAGTCTATTCGATCAACACAACTCTCAAACAAAAAATACAAGTCTCCTACCAAATGATCGTTGCAGTCATCTTGTTTGTATCGACGTGAAAAAAACTGCGCCCAAACCCTTGGATAACTCTGCATAGCGGGCTGCTTCTGTTTCCTGTGGACTTCAACACATGGAGAGCGCAGGGCACCTACATGAACCAAATCACGGCACTGACCGTCACACAGGCCTGAGTTAAGAAGCTTGGCCTCAACAGTCTCAAATTTGGCGAGGCTCGGCACTGCTGTGCAGACGCTGCCATAGGACCTCGCCGAGGAACTGCGAAGAGGGCCTAGTTATCTCCTTTCGGGTCGCACCGGCAGCCAATATAACAGGGACATGGTTTCGAAGAGTCTCTCGGCCCGGCTGCTGTTTCTGCCATCTGAGTCCGGAGCCAACATGCCTCAGTTCGGAGGCGGCACCACGACGGACACGTGGAACGACATACCAGCACCTCAGCGACAAAAGCCTGGCCCTCCCTTTGTGGCCCCGGGCCTGTGGAAGGAACTGAGCCCAAGACTGTAGCCACAAGGGATTGGTACGTCGTATTGGTAGCCTGCAGCCAAGCGCTCTCGTCTTTCTGGTAGCATGGTGCCCTGCACTAAGATTTCCACCCATCAACATTAAAACCCGGATGTTGTGAACGGCACCTATGCCCAGAAGAGGCCTCTCAGCCATCCCTCTGTGTGTCTGCCACAGTGATTCGCTCTGATTTGGCCTTGATATTCCACGGGCACAGACGCAGCAGCATAGCCTGGGAAAACACCACGATGACCGTCGAAACGTTTTTGCACAGCCGTGCCTCCATGGCCAGAAGGAACAGTGACCTACATAGGAAGATTGACAATAGTGGATAAAGACTGCAAAGTGTGGACCTCGCGCCTCAATCTGCTGGCTGTCTGGGACAGCTGCACTGACAAGGCCAGCTTCCTCGCACTCAGCAAGTGCAAAGAGAGCAACTGGTCACACTGTGATTGGAAGATGTCTTTGGATCAACAATATGTGGCAAGACTTGTCAAGCCTCACTGCCACGACGCCTGTAGCCAGTGATGTACGCAAACTTAAGACCAGTCCTGCTGCTTATAGGCTTCGGTCAGCATGACCTCACCAGCCAGAGTCAGGAGCTTTCGAGAGGCAAAACACGATCTGAAAGCTATCAGCAGCCTGCAAGAAGGCATTGTACTCATCGGCAGCCGTCAGGCTCTTCAGGAAGGAGTCCAGGTCTGCCTGGCAAAGCGAACATATGCTTGGGACAGGTCTTGCAAAGAAGAGGCCAGCAATTCTAATATTCTGCCTGCATGTCACCCAAAGATGCCCGTACATCTTGTAGGTGTCGCATAGCAGATTGGAAGCTGTCCTCATACACAGATCGGCAGAAGTCAAGCCGGTATTTGCCATTGGCATATGTCTTTCAGAAACCCAAAAAGACTCTTCAACTCAGCGGCCCTGGTCATGCCGATATCAGCGAGAGTCTTCCTCAGCAAAATCAAGAGTTCAAAGTGCAGAACATCTGCGGCCATCACTTTTCCAAGTTGCTCAAGCTGTGACTCGAAGAGTTCCTTGTACTCTTGGTGTCCTTGGGCGACGGAAAGAATCACCGCTGCTTTTGTTCTTTAGCTCTCGTGCACACGTGCACAACGGCCGAGCCCACCACGCAGAGTCCACAACCTTGCGGCTGCTTCTACCAGCCAGATTGATTTGTCGTAGTCGCAGGCTACACTGCACCCAAATTGCGATGCCGCCCATTTCGGATGCGGGACCTTCGATCTTGCAGTCGAGTAGCAACGGGTGGGATCCATCTGGCCACAGCGCCAGAAAGTCTTGAGCATGTTCGGCCGCGAATTGATGCAGAAGCTGTTGAAAGCTGCCTTAGGACGTTGGTCGTCGAACGGGTGTGAAGGCTGCAGGTCAGAGTGAGACCCTTCTATCTTGCATCCTGGCTGCTGTCCTCGAAGCTGTCCCGAAGCGGCTCCAAACTGGTCGAAATCAACCAGTCCTGACGACATGACAACACATAGCCAAGGCTCGCCGTTTGAGCTGTGGCTGGTGGCAGCTTCGGGCCTCATGCTTCTGCATGCGCATTCTGGGAGAAATCAGGTCGAGGTCATCCTCGACGTCGTAAGCATGATCCTTCGAGCAACATCCACAACGACTCCGACATATCTTCCAAGTCCGTCAGGCATTGCAACCTAGCATCGACAGCTGCCATGGTGGACGGGATGTAAAACCCAAGGTTCAGGTGTTCGCTGCTACTAGCGAAGAATGACTAGCCACATGGACCCTCACAAGCTCTGAAGGTAACGCAACACCCAAACCACGGGGGACTAGGGCAAGGCTTTCTGCCACTGCTGAGCCAATCTCATTCCGACCGGTCAGAGCCCTCCTTGCACGATCTGGCTTCATGCTTCAGCATCAAGAACCAGAACACGATCCGGGCAGTTCGAAGGTTCTGCAAACCAAGTCCCCTGCTGATGAAACTGCGTTAATGCTCGGCCTGAGCAGGTGTGCGTCAACGTCAACACCGGCCCACGAGCATACTCATCACACACAACAACCACGCAATGAAACAGTGGGACGATCCACACACAGACACCGGCCGGATTCAGAGATGTAATGAGGGTGAGCATCGATGAAATGGCTGGCAAGCGTGTTACCGCATCCACTGGGTTTCTAAGAGTCAGGTCCGATGTGCACAGCTGGACCAACTTATTTCTGAACGAATATCTCAGACATCGGATGGTTTGCTCTAGACTCTAGATGCAGTCTGAACGGAAGACGGAAGGAAGCATCGGAAAGATGGGGAGCCAGAATAGAAAAGCCCAAACCCACTGCCCTGGGTCCCCGTGCAGGTCAGGCAGCCAAGGCGGGGCCCCCGCCAGTGGCGGACGGAGTCGACAAAGCCTCGTCAAGAATTAGGAAAGAGAACAAATTCGTATCTTCATATATGTTTGTTTTTTTATATTTTCATAATATCATCATTAATCATGATTATTCTTACTATTACTATTGTTAATGTTACTGGTATGCTCTTGTTATTTTATATCAGGACCCAAAGCATGATCTTTTCTGGAGCCCGGTGAGCGGCGCCTTTGGAGTTCAGAAGCCTCGCGGCACCAAGCAGCAGCCTGCCAGCACTACAAGTGTATCTCCAGAAAGCACCGCGAACCAAGCAAAAGAAATCTGCCGAGAGGCTGGAGCTCTCCGGCTCCAGTAGTCTCAAATCGCTAGTAAAGAGTTATTCAAAGAAATCTCCTCTGCATCCGCATCAGCCGCAGCGGGTTCCAAGTCCCCGAGGTGGCCGTCGACAACCAGCTCCTGCGTGGATCGCGAGAAGATTTACTATGACTACGGCTGACCTCTTCGGCTTGGAAGCACAAGCACGAATCTTCCGGCATCCTCCAGCACTCTTGTGCCAACTTCTCGTTCGAGATCCTCGGCGCGTCTCCGACCTTTCCGCAACTCACGGGGCAGTCATAGCATGCTCGCGTCCGCGTCAACAGCCTTCTTGGGAGCTGGTAGCTGAGGTCGAGGCCGTCTTGACAGAGCTGGGACGCGGCCTCCGATGCGTCCAGCCCTCCTGGCCTTGGTGTCTCTCAGCTTGCGATTAATGCTCGGCCTGGGCCGCCTGGGCCCCTGGCACTAAGACACCTCCACCTGAGTGAAGCCTCCAGAGAGCGCTCCGAGCCTTCGAGATGCGAAGAAGTGCACATGTCAGTGCCCATCTCCGCCCTGGTCCAAGCATGCCACCCAGACAGCACCACAAGCTGCCGCAGCATCCGCCACCGACATGACCTGCTGCAATCCGAAGGCACTGCAACGGCAAACAGTTTTTCTCCGGGGGCTCAAGCGCGTGCCTCTCGACGTCTGCAGACGGTCTCTAGCTGCACCAGGGCAGGCAGCCTAGAGATTTCTGACAAAACGTGCTCTGGAGATTCAACTTTAAAATGTCTCTGCCATCAGAGCGTCGGGCGCAAATGCACTCAGAATCTCTTGAAAGGACATGGGCCATTCAAGTCCTCGCCCGTGCTGAACTGCATGCACGGTGCTGTCAGGCAGTGACTTGAACTTCATCCCTGAGGCGGCTGCCGCTGTGATCCAGTTCAATCTTGCCCCAAGCCCACTGCGTGGATCCTTGTAGCTGGGCATCAGATGCCTGGCCCCAGGACGGCAAAGAGCCATGACACAAGCCCGGTGCATTCTTGCTGCGGGCTTTGGGGTGGGGGCGCAGCCTCGCCGCGCTCGTGGGCCAAGGCTTCATGGAGCTCTCGGAGCCGGTCAGCGAAAGCGAGAAGCCTTGGTGCCGAGACCTGCCCAGCACACACACTTCATCGTGTCCTTCCTCGTCCTTCCTGGGATGATACGCGAATCGCACGAAGCATCAACTTGGCCTCATCGCCGAGCGCAGTGCCCACAGCGAGCAATGTTTGCTCGGCCTTGGGCTGAAACGACTCGAGACCCTTGCGCCTCCTGGACGCACGTGGGCATGTATGGCCCGGCTCCACTAACTATGGTTCTCTGATCTGATGCCGTGAACTGTGCAGAGCGCTCTTCAACTTGGACATGACCAAAGCACCGCGCAGAGCACAGTGGCCCTTCGACCACACCTGGACCGGCGGAGACACAGCCAGGCAGCCCAAGAAGCAAACGGGCAATCGATAATACCGCTTTTGCGGGCTGTTAATCGCAGCCTCTCTCTTCGAGGAGGAGCTGCAGGCCATGGAATTGGACCTGAGTTGGTTTCCCCACCCTTTAAACCTAAAGCCTAACCAAAAGCAGCGAGCTACCAGTGCATGGGAAAGTTGGAAAATCCTTGCATTTTTCACCAGCAGCTAAGGTAGAAGTTCGATAACCTGAGGTTTTTTCCGGGTGCTCATTGCTATGGCAATCTTGGACTCAAAACATCCGTTGGTTTGACAACATGCTCGGGTGAGCACTGCGAGGAAGTGGCAGCAGGCAGGCCAGTCCTGACATGAAGACAAATGTCTCCACACATGCCCGAATCGCTCAATGCTGGACCTCATCATTCTCTGCGGATGCAGCAGTTTCGAAGCATGAGCCTGAAAGCGCGCGCTTGCAGCCGCTTCCATCTGCTGCAATCTGTCTCCGGAGTTCCCCGGCAGCCTGCTAGACTCTGAAGCAGCGAGCGGTGCAGATTGAAGTTGTGCACACCTCGGAACAGACTGGGAATCCTAGCTGGAGTCTGCCTCAATCTTCTCCGTAGGATGCAAGTCTCAGGTGCAGGCTCGAGGTGGTCGCGGCTGTGGCACATACATTCAGCCCCCAAGCCTCCAGCTTGGGCTTTGCAAATCGCAAGCTGAAGCTCTGACACGAAAGAGAAACAACATCCGAATACTCGAAGAAGTCTCTCCTGTTTCGGAGGCCCGCACGCACACGAATCCACTTGCGGCTACCAGGGCCTGGGCTCAGCTCTGCTCTGCTCCCATCTGCTCCCATCTGCTTGTGGGCAAAGCGACCAAATCGGAGGCTCGGATGCTGACGGCCGAGGGAGCGATGGCAGCGTCGGGCTGCCATTTCGGTCTGAAGCGCGTCCTGAGAGTGTGCCACTGCGAGGTCTCCCCAGATCTCTCGGATCTGCAAAGAGCTTGCTCTCAGAGCCGCTGCAGGGTGGCAGGTGTGAGGACGAAGTGCAAAGCCGATGAGGATGCCTCGGCGTTGTTGCAGAGATACAGGGTCAGAAATGGGAAGCTAGGGGCCACTGCTGTATCATCCGAGAACACGTAGCCCAAGCTGCTGAGAAGATGCTGCCGCCTTGAAGTGTAGAGGCACATGAATCCCCACCCAACAACAAGCCATGTTCAAGGCTCTGTCAGATGTGCCGGGATCGGGGCAGTGCCAGCAAGGATCGGCGCTGAACGACTGATAGCCTGCGATCTCCGAAACAAGTTCTTTGGCTTCGACTTGTTCGCCGGGCCCCAGGTGTGCGTTGACACCCGCTGGCCCTAATCACTGAAACATAATCCAAAAAAGATGGTTCGCGAGAAACAATGGATCTAGAGGAAGCTACGACAGCCGCGAGAAGCAACCACAATTGTGACGAGCATGCCGCGAATCGAGTGACACCTCTCAGGTCTTGTCGAGATTCTAGACGACAAGGAGGAGGAAGCTGGAACCCGAGCAGCCAGGCCTCTTTGAGTCCAGGTCAGCCGCACCTGACGATCTGCTTAAGACAAGCTTGCTCCGCAGGCTCCACATGCAGAGCATCAAGCACACACAGACGGAAACTGAGCTAAGTGACGAAACTCAGAGTGGCCTGGCAATGCTGCTCCACACCCTGCATCCAAAGCAGTCCCGGGAGAATGCCCACCTTAGCCGGATCCGACTCAAGAACCCCGCCCCTTCTAAGACTGGTCCAGTACCCTGAGTTCTGCAGAGTAATTTCTGGCATCTTTGTTCGCCGAATTTCGCCGACAAGGCTGCAGGCCCTGGGCATCTGTGCCCCCCTCAAGTCGCTTCCGTCCAACCCTCTTCGGGGAAGGCTTCGACTTCCTCGTGAAGGCTGTTCTGGCTCCTGTGTGTGGCGGCCTTCAAGATCTCCCAGATCCTTTCAAAGCTTGGAGAAACTTGGCATCAAAGGGGACTAGCAACTCCCGGCAGGTTCTGATGCTGAGGCTTCTGCCCCAGCCCCACAGCTCATCCCAACAGCACAGCAGCCCCTTTGAACTTTTACAGTTCTCGTATCGACCACCACTTTTGAAATCCAATCCGACGGAAGGATGGATGGAATCGTTTGGTTTTTCGCATGCACGTGTCCCATTTTCTGAGTTCCTTGTCTTTCCGAGCCTCTCTTCAGGACCTGTTATCTTCCAAATGAAACAGAAGCAGTAAGAGTCGGTCAGCCTAGCAAGATGTCCGATCTAACCCTCGGCTTGCTTATCCCACTTGAGAGTGAGGATTCTGAGATCTGGGTGAGGCAGGGCACCGGCGGTCCATTGGAGGATCTTCACCTGTGGGCGTCTGACTCTCGTCCGAAGCTGCTTGGCTATCCCAGGCCTCGGCCGCGGCCGCCACGAAGCGGCAGCGCGACGCTGCTGCGCCGCCGCCCCCGCCGCCGCTCGCCACAAGGTCTGTCATCCCAAGTGCAAGGCGTTGTCTGCGACAAACGTTTCAGGAGTGCGGTGCCTCTGAACTTCTCCAAGTGGCTGGCGATGCTCTGGGCATACTTGCCTTCCACAGACCGTATCTTCCCGCGAGCGTCTAGCTTTGAGACTGATTCTTGCCTGTCTGCGTGCGCTGCTGCGTTTGCGTCTGCGTGTAGGTGCGTGTAGGTGCGTGTAGGTGCGTGTAGGTGCGTGTAGGTGTGTGTGTGTGTGTGTGCGCATGTGTCTAGAGTCAAGATTCCTAGATGCTAGAGGAAGAAACTCAGGCCAACGCTGACTGCAGGCAAAAAAGCCATGGAGGAATGGCAGAAGCCTCAGCTCCAGCTTCTGGGAATTCTTCGCCCGTCTCAGATTCACCAAGGAGGCAACCAGAGAGCGGCCAAAGAGCCTTGATGGCCTCTGCAAAATGTGCAAAAACGGGAGCAGAGCGAAAAGCTGTCTTGGACACCTCGAGCACCAGGAAGAGGTGCTGCGTTGGCAGCACAGACGCTTCCGTGTTCTCCGCATCCTGCCGAGACAGAAAACTGGGCCGCACCGTGCACCGGACTGTCGCTTCGGCCTTTTGGATCTCGATTTCGTCTGCCTTCTCTGTGACCTCACAAGGGTCAGGCATTCGCATGTTGAGCAGAAGGGCTTCCCTTGTGTACCCCCTTCCCTTCGCCTGATCATCGGCAAGGGATAGCTTCACCAAGAACTGCAGGCGACATTCGGGACAGGAGGTGCTCCACTCGTTGACAAATGATGGTGTTCACCAACACACACAGTACCAAGGCAGGCATCAGATCTGAATTCGTAGTCTCCCGAATGCTCTTGTGATCTGGCTGTCTTGGGCCTCCTTGGCCCAGTCCTGGTCGTCCAGCTCACGGTGCAGAAGGGCTGAGGCCAGCTGGTCAGCCTCGGGCGAGCCATGACCACTTCGCCACTTCGCACTGAAAGTCGCTTCGGGAAAGCCTGTGCTTCTGGTGGTCGTGCAGATGTATAAAATATTCAGCACGGAGATCCCCTGGTCACAGTCTTCTCGACTCGCTGTGCCAGCGGTGGAGGAAGGAACAGCACAATGCTTGGTTCTCATGAGTTTATCCCGTGTGCAGCAGTGGTCGTCCCAGCTTGTCCGAGATGGTACGAGCATCACGAAGATTGCGTGAGGTGCTAGCTCGAAAGATTGAAGGGCTTGGCCTGCAGGCAGATGCCTCTGCCGGCGTGTGGCAGGGCTGAAGGCGGAGTCGGGGACAGTCGGGGAGCCGGAAGAACAGAGAAGAACGAGGGAAGGCGGAAGGCCAGTGAGGCTCAGAGCCGGGGCCGGGAACTGAGCCTCTGGCCAGTTCCATGGGGCTCCTGGCGCTGCGCACTGTGCATGGCCCAAACTTGTACCCTGTTGACCCGTTAGACTGCTGGCAGCAGGCCACTGCCTGGTCGACAAGCGTGAGGCAGTCGGACGGTTCATGGCAGCAGAGAAGATCAGCCTGGGAATTCTCTTCGTGGGAGACCAGACAAACTCTCTGTTCGCTGATGCCGCCATCTTGGCAAACGGGCGACAAGGCCCCGACGATTCAACGTAGAACTCCTCGGCACATCGCACCGGTGGGGCCAAGCCTGCCCACGCCTGAATTCAACGAACGCTTACCGACCACCAAGCTTGTTTCAGTTTGTGCGACGAAGACCAACAAGCCAGAGACTACGGGGCGGACACTCAGACCATCCATCAGCGGCAGGAGCTTGAGCCGTAAGCGGCTGGCCTCAATGAGCAGGCACACTCGAATCTGGTCTGCCCACCTTCCCCGATGAGGTGACGACATCTGGATCCCATGCAGACCCACTTGAAGCCAGGTACGAGCGCAGGCGCGCGATCAGCGTAGCGACGCCTTTTCGAAGCCATGAAGAAAGTGTGGCACCACCCATGGAGCTGTGAGACCCACGGGGCCCACGCGCTCAAGCCAGGGAGCCGAGGTCTTTGGCAGCTTCTTCAGCGCGGCATACAACTGCTGCAGCAAGCTCAAGGCCTCAAAACGGCAGAACATCGCAGCCTAACCCTCAGCCAGTTCACTTGCCGAGATGCTTTCGGCTCCATGCGTGTCCAGGCAAGCCGCTGTGCCTTCAAAGATCCTAATATCAAGGGAGACGCAAAGCGGGTCCGTTCGTGGCCTGAGACTTGGAGTTAGCCGAGACCAGCGCTGTGCCCTGAGCAAAAGGGCATACGGGCATACCAGGGCCAGGTCTCGAGTCGCGAGGCCAGGCCTCCAGCAGTGATTGCAGTTGGCCGACCAGGCCTCGACACAGCACAGCGATGCGCAGCGCCAAGAAGCCTCGCCCTCTGGCGCCGAGTCTCTGGCCGATTCCCACTCGCAGATGCAGCAAGATCTCGGGAAAGCTAATTGCAGTTCTGGCAGCAGCGCACAGGCGGCGACACGGCAGCCTCGCCTCGGAGGACTCCGAGGCGTCCCGGGTTGCTTGGCAAGCAGGGGCCTCGCCCAAGCTCTCCAACAGCCCTGGCAGTCGCAACGCGCTACGTGTCGCGGAGTATGGAGTTTCGTGCGTGTCCGTCCGTGGGCCACGGGCCTTCTGAGACCGTCTGCACCAGTGGCTGGAGGACCGTCAGGGCTGGGTGGGGCCTCAGCCGACGAGCTGAGTCAGCGGCAGTCATCTGCACATCCCAGCGCACTTAACCGAGTTTCTGACAACGAAGCGAGTGGGACCAAACCTCTGACGACAACTACGGCTGCTCTAGACTCTCTCGATGTGACATGCTGGCATTGGTTGAAGTGGTTGAAGCACTTAAAACTAAACCGTCACAGACTGGCTCTTGACTCGCTGAGGGCCTTCTTGAAAGCGCGCACTTAGAGCCCAAGCGCTCTCTCCGACACTTCCATCCTGCAGGGCCCCCAGATCTCACGGCCAAAGGTGCAAACATGCAATGCGCATTGGTGTCCGGAAGCAGCGCCACGGAAGGAGAGGCTCTCAGCATATGGAGCGCCAGGACCTTCAGAAGCTTAATGTGTGGTACGCCACAGTCTACTCCCACAGCCCTAGGCGTGAGAGAAACTAGAACGTCGGGCCCTGGCCTTTGCGCATCGAAGCAACTCGACGAGGTGTTCAGCCGCAACCTACTTCAACCATCATGCCGATCATGCCCCTTCGATATTAGGGGTGGCGCATTCAGCTGTTTTGTTTGGCTGCATACAGGCTCACCTGAAAGCCCGAATGAAGCCACACTGTCACGAATACTAGAGCAGTTGAATGCTACTGGTAGCTCACTGTGCTTGAGCTTATTACCGGTCGACTGAGTCTAAACATCGGCACACGAAGGCGCACAGGCCAGCTCTGAGACATGAACTCGGGCGGTCTCGCTCGTCGAAGCCCGGCCACAGCTGGCCAAGCTCCAGGCCTCTGCTCACGACGCACACGAGGGGCCCGCATGGCCCGCTTTGACTTTGCACCGGCCAACAAGGTCGACACCAATCAAGAGAGCTCAACTTGTCCCTTGCAAGATCTTCCCGAAACTTCATCGCTACAGACTTTGATAGGTCATAAACGTCCAGGCACTGCAGCCCATTCCGGTCTGAGTGCGAAGCATCGCGAATTGAGCATGTCCGCATCGAAACAGACTTCCTTTGTTCCCCACAGACAAGATGGCTGTGCGTCACCAAAGCCGTTGCAGCCCGAGATACACTGCCATCTCGCGTGCAAGCCTCGAAGCACAGCAGAAGCAGCGGAGAAGACGAGGAGCTGGGTTCGTGTGCTCCCTGGGACCACGACCCTTCTGTTGCTCTCGGCACCAATTCCTCGCACGATCAGTGCTTTGCTCTTACTGCTTGAAGATGTTTGATGCTTTCTCGCCGATTCTATGCAGAGGCTGCAATATGCTGCTGATGCAACCAGGCAGCGGCCAGAAGGCGGTGCTGCGCGAGCATCTTCAGTGCATCTGCCTAAGTCGACCCTTCCCGGACCCTACATCCACGCATGTGCTCTGCTCCGCGCATGGTCAGCTCGCATGTTGGTAAGTCGCCGGCTTTGCCGCTTGTGCTGCCTGTCCAGATGCCGTGGGGCGTTCCGATGCACTTCTAAGCTTTCCAGCATGATGGTGAAACAGGTGGCAACCGGCCATGGTCCCGCAGTATAGCAGGACTCTTTGAACAGCCAAGCTGGCACACCACCGCGAAGTCAGAGATTTTGGCTCTCTTGGCCGCCAAGCACCGTCCGAAAGCTCCTCTTCTTTCTCGTAGGCATCAAACCAACACCACTAGGGTTCAGTGAATTTACAGGCCCTGCGGCAAGTTGATACAGTACCCCGCAAGACAGGTCTCAAACTCTCGCACTGCCTGTTGTTGATGCTTGATGCCGAAGCTGTGGTGCCTCGCCACAGCTTCGCCAGCAGCTCCAAATTCTGCACGGAAGGGTTGGCTGCCTGCAGAAGCTGATGAGAGTTGGCAAGTCATTCTTAGCAGGGCTAGCAGGGAGGAGGCAAGGCAAGACGCTGCAGCTCAATCACGCAAGCTTCCTGCAAGCACTAAACTGTACTGTAACCATGATATCTGACTGTACACATGCAGGCTTCGTCAATGCATGTCACTCCGACCCGATCCAGGTAGAGCGCAGCGAAGCGCGCGCTCTCCTGTGCAGCTGCCAGCAGTTGCTCTTGCTGCGGGCTTAGGCGGCACAGAAACAATGCTGCCTGGGACACGCTCTCCAAGTCTTCTGCCAGGCTTGCCATAAAGGGCCCCAAACTTGGCAGGATGCGACCCCAGCATAAGAAATGTGCTGTGCAACACCACGGCTGGTGCTTCCGAACTACTCCAGCTGAGGTCGACACCGTCTTTCCGCCTCGTAGCGGGCTCTCAGAATTTTACGGCTGCTCCCACGCACAATGTTTGAACTGCCTCGTCGGTCCTAGATCCGACAGGCAGCAGCGAGGAGTTCAAAGCCGCTGCTAACCTGAGCAACGGCACACAGATTTCTGTGCAAGGGGCCCTTCTTTGGTGTCTGCATGGGCTTGCTATGATTTCGAGGGAAAACATCGTGAGGCCACGGGTCTTTGTCCGAGGCACCATCGGAAGGCTGTTGACTTCGACCTGGCACATGCGATTGCACCGCGTTGTCTCAGCTCGCGCTGAAAAGCCGCTGGGACTCCGGCAGCTCCCTGCAGCTGCATGCCAGGAGACGAAGAAGTGTCGACTGGCAGAGCAGTCACTGCAGCTACATGACCAAAGCTTTGACAGGGGACATGCGGAAGTGAAAGATTGACGGAAGCTGAAGAAGACTAGGAATGTAATCCTGCGCGGTAGATGGTCAAATATTGACACAAGCTCCCGGGTCTGTCTGAGTTTCCTCTGGGAAGCTGGGGGAACATGCAGAGGCTTAGCGAGTATCCTGAGAAAGAGGGACGAGCCTCTGGGAAGAAGCTGCTACAAGTCCGAATCACACTACAGAGCTAAAACCTCTATGGGTCTTTTGTGGCAGATTCGTCCAAGCGTGTCAAAACCGTATGAACAACGCCGTGCTCCTGCACTGTGTCCGGCAGAACCCCGTGCCTCCAGCTTGGTGGCATAGGCCTCTGCACTGTAAACCTGCCAGACGTCTTGTTGATCAGTGAGAAATATGGGCACCGGAAACTGTGGAGTGTGCCAAGGCTGTCCGGCCTGTTGGAAGCTCGCTTGCAGCAGTGCGCCAGGCGATGCATCTCGGCAGAAGCGAAGTCCAAGTCCGAATGCTTCTTTGGCTGCCTTGGTGTCTGCGCAGGCCTGGGGGACTCCGTGCAACAGCCGTGGAGAAGAGCGCCAGGAGCTTCCGCAAAGCCTAAGACATGGACAGGCACAGCTACCTGAAGGTACTCAGCTGCGCCATGCCGGGGTGCCGACCCGAAGCCCAAAACCCGGACAGCCAAGGCGCCTGGCCTGCAGCATTCCCACATGGGCGCGCAGTCGTGAACTGACATGAACTGACACAAAGGGCGCTTGTGAACTTCTGTGAAGCAGCCCTTTTCGTGAGCACACGAGGGGGATTTCCAATGTTCCCAGAGCTCTCCAGGGACTCCCCCATGCCGTTGGGCATGTCTCATGTTCAGACACGTGTCATCATTAACAGGACGCAGATAGCAAACGTCTAAGTGCATCGTTTGCGCAGGCTACTCTCTTTGGAAGCCGCGCATGTTGGCTTGTGCACGTCTTGCACAAGTGGTAGTAGGGTGGTGATGCCGAACTGTACATTATGGAAGTCAGGCACGACCCCCAGCTGTGCACACCTGTGTCCAGTGAAGCCGCTGCGTCTCAAACGCAAACGGCTTTCTCGAAAAAGATCTCCTTGCGCATGAGCTCAAAGTGGTACCCCGCACAACATGGAAGCAAGGGCCTCGGGTGCATGTTTTGTCAATCGTACTACGAATGGAGCCGCTACAACTGGGTGCCTCGCGCCTGCCTTCGCAGTGGAACTTCACGCAGCTTCGCAGGGGGCGACGAGCCATCAAGCTGGTCTGACAGCAGACCTGCAGGAGGTGCACCGCCCTGTTTCAAGGATGCTCTGATGAAGTGCGTGGCTCACTTGTCTGCAGCTGCAGCAGTGTTGCAAGGCCGCGCCTGAAATCTGGAAGAGAGTCGGAAGGAAGTGCCTCTTTCGGATTGCGGTGACGATGCCCTCTCCGAGGCCCTGAACCTTGACTCGCCAGCCGATCAGCACCTCTTCTGAGGCTGTGCACAAAGTGTGCAAAGCAAAGGCAACGAGGTGAAGCCACGAAACCGGTTGCTGACCCAGCCTCGGGAGACTTGCCGCAGAGACGAGTTGCATCAGCGCGCCTTAGGGCGCTGAGCATGCCCGAACGGCCCGAACTTCCGCGATGCTGGATGAACTAGGCAGGCAGGGCACTCCTTTGCATCCAGATCTGGTGGAGAATGAGGGGAAGACGGACAGTACGGACCCTTGCCGGCTTGACTGGCGCAGCCAAAGAGGCCCAAATCTCCCAAGGGTCTGCAGAGTGACCTCTGGCTCAGCAGCAGAACGCCTTCTGCGTGGCCCAGATGTCGTGAGCGTAGGACTGCATCGCCGAGGTGTTCACAAAGCGTCGCTTCTGCATCCTCAATCTGCACGCTTCCAAAGCCACTCTTTCCCCTCAGCCGCATCGACCATATCGTCAGCTCCGCCCGGAAGCCCCAGCCAATGTCGAGAGTAAGCAGCTGCTTCGAATCCTGGGTGGACAGCAACCGAGGGCAACTAAAGTAGTGCGACTGAACTGTTGCCCGGTGCTAATTCATGCCCCAGGTGCCGCATAGAGACTTAGGTTTCCTGCAACATCGAAGGTGAGGCCGATGCCGACCGCCTGCTCGTCACGTAGGCCTGGCCCCACCACCAGGGTCCGAAGAGTGTCGCTGTGCACTCTGGAAACCTGAGATGGGCTTTAGCCGAGCATCATGTCTTAGGGGACAAAAGCTTCCAGAGCATCCGAGCCACCATAGACATCTCAGCTGTGAAGCTCACAACGAGAAAGCGCGGCTGGCCGAGCTCATCAAGTTTGGCACAGCTTTCGTCGAGAACGCCCTCTGCCGGCACCAAGCGGATGAAGAACCCAACCTGCCGCCACAACACCCACCAGCCAAACACTCGACGGTCTATCACGAGTTTTCACCAGTCACGGGCAGGTGATGGCAGGTGACCCTGCACGTTGTGCAAGACTACATGCACGCATCAACAAGGGCACGCAAACCGCTCAGCACGCTTGCTGCACTCTGCTTTGCCTCTGCTTTGCTGTCGCTGAGCTCCACCACAGCTTCCGCTCTCACAGGCCGCTGGCATCGTATTCCATCGCTCAGCGACATCTGCCCAAGAGCTGGCACCAACCGCATCTGAACGGGAGCGAAAGCAGAGCGATCAAGACTAAGAGTCCAAATGTAGCGGATTTTTCCAAGCTCCGCCTGCCAGCAGATCTCGGAGCCTTCTCGTTCCAAGTCCTTGCCTGTGCTCGTGCGCTTGGCTCGCTTGGCTCGCACGCTTGGCTCGAGGGGCCCGGCCTTGCATGGGCTTGGGGAGCCCGGGTCCGAAGAGGTCCCGCAGCCCGGCGACGTGGAGCTCCAGCAAGGCGTCCTCAAGCGCAAGCGCACAAGCGGCACTCGTCTCTCGTCGAGGTCTCTTGCGTCACAGCCGTTATATCATAAAATACGGAGTTCTTATACACCTGAGGCATGGACCAGCCGCGGGACGTGCAGGGCTCGGCACAAGAAGAGTGTGGCCTTCTGCCTGGCGGACAGCTCACGTTTGCCGATTCCACAGCCCTTACTCGGCCTTCCTCATTTCTTAGACTGTTTGGCACTGGCCACCTGCACACTACAGATCTTGCAGAGTGGTGGTCGCCCTCCGTCATATACAACTCTTTCTCCCCCTGGTACGCGTGCCAGAGCTGCTCCTTCAAGGCACTGGGAACCAAAGGAGGCTTCGCAACTGCATTTTGTGACTGTGCCATGACCAAACTGTGGTGCACTAAAGCTGGCCAGGAGGCAGCATGCTGAGGTGTGATGAAGTCATCACTACGCGCTGCGATGAACCTGGCGATGCTGAATACTCACTGATGACAGCACACGAGACACACGGTTTCGCTGCAGCCAAGACACAAAGCTGGCATGAAGCACTGTCTCGCATGGCTCTTGCCTTCCAGGTCCTCTCAAACTGCTACCACATTTAAGAGACCGTGGAGTCAAAAGCCGGCTGGAAAAGCTGGAGGCTCTAGACTTTTCCACCAAACCTCTTGCGGCTAGATGCCCGAGTTTCTGCATCGCAAGTTGGCAGCCGCGGTGGTCCTCGATGTCAAATCCCGCCCTGGCTCGGATGGCTGCTCGGGCTCCTGGAATGATGGCACCTGCAGTGAAATCCACTGTGCTCTGCCGTGAGCTTCTCATTCGCCCACACTTGGCAGAGTCTGCGTATGGTGTCACTCTCTGCGCTCTAGCTGAGGAGAAGTGCGTGCGGCCCATGACGGTAGCATCGCCTGCCGCCACGCAAGCAAGGACTTCAAGCACTCAACTCTCCAAACTGCTAGAGTGTAGCCAGCATCCAAGGAAACTGCAGGCAAGTCTGAAGCGGCTTGCTTGTCCAAACATCATCTGACTGCATTCAAAGTCAGAGTTCAAGCAGTAGGCACAGTCGGAAACAACACCTGAGTCATCGCTCCGCTGGTTTTGAGCACTTTGAAAGATTTGTCCAGCATAGTCGCGGTCGCTGCACCGATGCGCGTGGATGGGTATGTGGTGTGCTGGAAGCCTTTACAAGAGCAGTCCAAGCTCCACAGGTTCCAAGAGGACCTGCACGCCTCTGGGGGGGCTCTGCTCAGCCACTGAAGTGGCAGTCGGCTTCTTAGCAGGTCTTTGTGAGCCTGTGGGGACATCACCCACTCCGGGTGCCTTTGGGCTTTCACCGGCTTCAACTAGAGAAGCAGGCATCGACAATGGCATGTCGGGCCTTCCTGCCAGCCAGCTCCGTTGCGAGGTGCCGGAGAGAAGCAAACCTCTCCACCACGCTGAAACCACAGACCCTGCAGTGACCCCTGCACTCCTTTTTGAGATCCAAGCGGACTGTCCAGCACCAGGGCTGCAATTGATGGATCGCGATCAGCGTGCAGTAAAGCCTAGGCTGGCACTCAAATTGCAACGCACTTTAGATGGAGGAAGGGGAAGGGAGGGAAGGAGCAGAACTTTCAAAATCTGCATGCTGCAAGGGCACTGTGACCGCCCCCATCGATCGCCCCCAAAGCGCCACCTGCGAAGCTTTGCCAGTTGACCGCAGGTGGGCGATGCACGTGGCCAAGTCGTCTCGCTCAAACCTCGGGACGGTAAAACCTTGTAGAAGGCAGGATCGCTGCATCTGTGCTTGGGCTGATCCAAACACGAGCTTCCTGCCAAAGCACCACCCGAGCGACACGTAATCACCTTCTGAGATTCCACAGCCAGCGAAGTCGAAGCAGAAAAGGCTGATTCGCAGTGGCAGCAACAGCCTCAACAGCTGGCAAGGAGAGATTGAACAGGCCCAGCCTGTGTGGGGACAGGGCGGTAGCAGCGGCAGAGCTTCTAATCGGCATGAGGAGTTTCCGTGCAGAAATATGACCTCGGCTTACCACCCACCCAGATGAACTTAAGCATCGCAACGTGCCAGCGCCATCATGACAAGCAGCACAGGGCCGGTCCCTTGATGACCAGTTCTCCTGATGACTTCAGACCTACACACGCAAGCAGCACGTTGCTCCCGATCCTCCGGCTGGCCCGGGTCAGGGATTGGCTCGAACAGCGAGCACCTGCATGGAGTTGAAATGGCTGCCCAAAGCCTAACATGGACCGAATGCAGACAGGCATCTGTAGCGACTGACCACGCGGGTTCTGAAGCACCAGATCCTCTCGTCGACCATGTCCCTGCAGCTGAAGCGCTAGAGCATTGAGTCTGGCAGTCACTGTGAGCAAGCAGGCAGGACAAAACACAAAAGACCGCAATTCGAGCCCAATCCCCCCGACCATCCTAGCCTTATCCGCGATTCGGAAGGTCGATGGCCCGAGTTTCGATGGGGTATACCGGCATCGCGGCGGCCTGCAGACGGCGGAGGGAGGCACCCCGTCTCTCCTCTTCCTGGCTCCGCCTGATGATCAGGCTCAGCAGCAAGTCCACTGGAGATCGAAGATCGACCTGGCATCGCTGCCGTCGATCCCCAGGCCCCAGAACATCTTAGTTCTCTCCCACCCGAGAGCTCTTCAGGTCGTGCCTGCTCCAGTTGAACCTGCGCACATCAAGGAACTAGTCTGAGACGAGTATCTGCAAACCACTCTTGCAAAAGGTCGGACTCTCCGTGAACCTGCTGCAGCTCGGCTGGAGGCATGCGGAAGCCATTGGCTAAGGCGCCCCGAGACCGCTCTGATGCAAAGCTGCAAAGCAGTCAGGAGGACTGCTCATCGTGATCCGCCATGCAAGCTTCGTGCGCTGTCTCACTTGCCAATGTTTGGACCGCATGAAAACAAACAAACTGGTGAGACGTTTGCCGGCTTGATGGCTGCGGCAGTGGCGCGGATGTCTTGTTCTGGCGGAAATATCGACTGACAGTGACGTGCGGTGCTGAAGATGCTGCCCAGGCTTCTCGAGCTTGCTGATTGGCCGGGGCCTGCAAGCTGTCCCGGCATCACAGAAGAACTCGGCAGCACAATGTCACGGAGAATGAACCCTAGGCCCTAGGCGCATGGAATGGAGTGTGAAGTGGCAGTCAGCGAGCAGCTGCCGAAGAAACGAATGATGAGCCGGAATGAAGAGAACATGTGCTTTTGAAGTTCCAAATCTAAAGTAACACCACGGAAACATGGATGCGGTCATGACCGGTCCCGGGCAACTCGCCGTGCCTCCTTCCCTTCCGAAGCTCCTGGCAGAGCAGGACTGCGTGTAATTGAAGTGGTGCCGAAGCGACTCCCTTTAGCCCTCCCCGCCCCCCGGCCGCCCCCTCCCTCAAAAGATGCCTCGCTCCAGGGCTGCACAGCGCAGTCCGAGCCAGAGCCTTGCAAGGTCACCAAAAACACGATGCGAACAGAGGCTCCCTTTTTGCCTGAGACTGCGGCGCATGCGCTAGGCAGTGCAGGGTCGCCAAGTGCAGCGCCACGGGCGGCGACAGCGTTGCCTGCGAGGCCGCTGCGAGGCCGCTGCGAGGCAAGCGCAGGCCCGGTGAAGGCGGGGCGTCGCCCGTTGGGGAACCTCCGCCAAGACCAGACGCGTGGCATCGACGAGCGCCGCCGGCGACGGCTGGAAGAAGCCGACCTCCCGCTGCTGAGAGCAGCGCAAAGCACCATTCCTTCGTAGCCATTCAAATCCGCGCCTCCTTCGAGAGTGTCTCCCTCACCTGCCAACATCTACGTTGGCGACAACACGACGATTCACTCGACATGCATCAAGCTTGCGTCACCCAAGCTAGCTCCGGCAGTGGTGAGCCCAAAAGCCTTGCACGGTTCCGTCCTATCTTGCAAAATACTACCTGAACTGGAGCAACGGCATGCAACACATCAAAACATGAATAGCTGGGTCACCAGCTTGCTAGCCAATGTCGACAGCGCTTCTGCTAAGAAGCTGAAGCACGAATCGACCTACATGGCAAACGGGCCCAGTGGTTGGAACCCTTTGTTGTGGATATGCAGCCGATGCAACTCGTCAGTTCCCTAAATGCATGGCAACACACGTCCTGCGAGCTTACCCGTGTTTTTCCGCAGCATCGTCCACGCGCCAGTGGTTAGCGCTCTACCTTGTTCCCGAAACCGTCAAATTGCGCGGGGATTCTTCTGAACTTCTCGGGGTCCAAAAGAAGTGGCAACACAAACCACATTGGATCGTGGAGCAAAACCAGTATGCTGCTGAAGAATGTGACATAGAGACCCCAAACACGCGTTTGACAAGCACGATTGTGCTTGGCTGCTTGTCCCATAGGGTCGAAGCCCGGCGCAGTGTCTGTACAGGGAGGCCATCGCCTCATGCAGCGTGGTTTATTGAGAAAGTATCGCCAGCAGCGATCTCGTTCGGTCTGTGCGGGCAAATCCGAAGGCTGAGCAACTAAAAGGGCGATGATTGAGCCAAATACACGCAAGATGCTTTACTAGTGACCTGTCCGATATGTGAGCGTGGACATACTGTAACAAATGCAACTGTGCTCAATGTCAAAAGTCTGAGAAGTCTGAGAACTTGAAATGAATTGGACCTGCGTGCGGAGACCAGGGCCCCCGGATGGCTGATTGAATTCGTGTTCAAAGCCCTGCTCTGTGATATCACACCACGGTGTTGACGGGGCGCGAAAGAGCAGGACTTCCACAAACTTCCTATGGATGTATCTCAGTCTCAGCAGACTGAGCAGTCTCAGCAGTCTCAGCACTGGGGCATATCTTCCAGCCGTTGCTGACAACCGAACCGTCTGAATACCAGTAAACGGTGGTGTCAGGAACCACTGCTTCAGGACCCGCAGAACCCGAGTAGGCCTTGCAGTTGACAAGCAGGCTATCATAGCCGGCCTCCGTGGAAAATTCATCCACATGGATGGGCACTGCTGCTGAGGCGTTCACCGCGACTGTGCATTCCTGAGCAGGCGAAAGTCCAGAACCCTTCAGGGCCCTACAGAGACCTGGAAGCCTTGTTCTCCAGGCGCACGCATGAGGCTGAACGTAGCCAAGCTGCCTCCTTATTGCTGTAGTTTCCAGGGTATCCAGGGCTGACCAGGCAGTCTGACTCGTCCACACGACAAGAGCCGCTTAGCACCGTCCATATAGCATGCCCAGGGAAAGCAAGTGTGGGCGATGTTTCATCGCTTGTGTCAGATGCTTCCACTTTGCCATCCATCACGTCGTGGATCCATCCTAGAACTGAGGAGACCCGCGCATACACTCCTGGATAGCCTTCCAGAGCGCAGCCATCACCCCAAGACGTAACACCCTGCAGAATATAGCGGCCGGATGCCTCGCAAACCAAAGGCCCCCCGCTGTCACCCTGGCAGGTGTCCGTGATACCCTTCTCAGAGTTTCCAGCAGCACACATCATCGAAGCAGTGATGGTCTCGTTGCGGCTTGCATAATCCGCCTGGCATTCTGCATTGCTCAGCAACGTGACCTAAGCTGGGCAAGGAACAAGTACACCCACGGCCACAGAAAGGTGTCTTGAAAAAGCCGGCAGCGACAGCTCAAAGCCCTTTAAGAACCGTGCGGGTGCCTGCTGCAGCACTTCAGGCATGGGCCCTGCTGGCAACGAACATGTTCAATGTTGCGCACTATTCCTTTAACGACCAGCGCCTGACGACATTAGGGTACCCCAGCCAGTGATGCTGCATTCCATTCCAGCCAGGTCTGTGTGGTCGTCCATCGCAGGCAGGCATGCAACACCGATGCACTCGTTGATTGGAAAGGGTTTGTCAAGCTCCTGAGCAATGACAATCATCAAGTGCACTCAGACGACACCGTGTACACTGACATGTCACTGTACGTCATTGGCCGTGCTGACAAGCCACCACCAAAGCCACATCAAAATCTGAATCAGCAGCATCGTCATAGTGCGGATGGGAGAACACTCTCTTGATGCGACGCTCGATTGATTGACCCTTGACTGCTTCATCATCCGAGTACTGCTTCCAGTCCCCTGCAACTATTCGCAGCTTTCGCATTTTGCAGACGTTCATCTGCTTAACACAATGCGCTGCTGTTAGCACCCAGCCAGGTGAAATCAGGGTCCCTCCACAAAAGGCAGTCGCCCCGCCGTCTGACCGAGCACTTCTGATGCTCACTTGCCACCGCCAGGCACACTGATCGGCATCTTTGCCGTGCACGATGCGCGCTCGGCGGCCATGCCTGCGTAAGCTGCAGCAAAACATAAGAACGTGCATCCTCACTCTGAATCTTTTCTCAGTCAGCCAAGCCTAAGCGGACCGCCGAGAATACCACACTGTTCGTAATCACGGTTGTCCACCTCGCCGCTTTCGCTCTCCTCCCTGTGGCTTCCACGCAAGTTTCCAGATTGGGTCTCCTCCCCTGCGACTGCACACAGCAGGCAGCTCACCACACTGGCAGAAAGTAGACGCAGCATGGGGAGCTTGGGCAAACTGGGCAATGGCACTGCAACTCGGATCTACTTTTGAGATCCCTACAAAGTGTATGGGAGCCAACACGCATCGTGCTCACTGTTGAAGAATCCTGACTTGCGCTATTCAATTCGGAAGCATGGAAGGTGGCAACAGAGCAAAATAGAAACACGGAAGCTGCTGGGGATGCTCACCGCACTCGTGCTGTGTGCAGCGCAGCCGACGGCCTGAACGTCGAGCACATGCTGATGGAGGGTCGAGGGTCACTGAAGAGATGCAGGCCTTCGCATATAGCTGGGCTGGGACATCACCACCTGCTACGACCGATCTGTCCATTTGTCGGACTCTGCATACTCCTTGCCACGACACGCCAAGCCTGCCGACACGAAGACTTCCAAACATCGATTGCGCAGGGCTCGAGAAACCTCAGAACTCAGACCTCCACTGGTGCTCCGGACAGTTTGAGTCAGCGGCCGTCGCAACAAAACCTCCCGTCGTCAGAGTGAAGAAGATGCGAAAGTCGGGGTGCGGCCTGAGGTCAAAGGTCTCCCCTGTCATGACAGCTACTGGGCACAAGGGCGCACCACGAACCCGAGACCCGTGCCACACCAACCTCTCCTCTCCCGATTCTGTCAGCCTTGAGTGCACACGGCCCAGCCGGCTACGTGACCACGCGCGACGACGCGTGCAAAAGGAATCATTTTGGAACCCACTGTCGGCAATTAACGGGACACGGAAGAATGGACTGTGGCATGTGGGTTGCTGTCGGCTTTTCCTCAGAACCTATTCACGTCTATATCTCTCCTAGAAAACTTATTCGCATCTATATCTTTCCTAGAAAACCTATTCAAGGGGGGTCGGGCCGATAACGAACCATGCCAGAGTATTCCACTTACTCAAGAGAGAAGTTGGACGGAAGGTTTCCGCAGGACTACCTTGGCATTCGCCTTCGGCGAAGGCTTCGCCTTAGCAGCCTTGAGCCTTGACTGCCTTGTTTGCCTTGTTCTCGACTTGTCGTGACGTTTGTGCTTCAGGTGAATTGGGCAGTGGCAGTGTTGCTCGGACAGGTTCAAGATGGTGAGCAGGTAGATCACTGAACCGTACCAAATGAATCGGAAAGATCCTCTGGCCGTTGGGGTATGACTCCTTCGTGTTCCTGGTCCATGGCCATGCGATTTTGCCCCTTACGAGCCTGAAAAAGTCTGGCTGCTGCGCTTGAGCACCGGCTTCTTTTCAGGTTTCCACCCACTTCCCTCCCCATTCCTCGCTTGTCTTGCAGATGTCAAAGCTGTACTGCTCTAGCTCTGGATTCAGGGATGAAACGTTCTTGCAGAAGCTTGGAGCGTCCGGGTAGCATTCTCGTCTGTATTCGTGTGACCCTGCTCAGGTCAGCATGGTTCATCTGGCTTGCCTGTCGCAGCAACGACACAAGCTTTGCCAGAGCTTCTGGACGGTGACGCTCCCAAAAGCATGGTGAGCCTTGCCGCGTCCATTATGTGGTCCAGACATGCTGGCCTACCATGAGCATGACTCTGCTGTTGTAAAAGCTGTGTCCGTGCTCGAACTGTTCTGACAACCAAACAGCGGTGTCACTGCTTGCCACTCATAAGGCTTCGATGAACCAAGTGTGTTCATTCTCGCGGTAGAGCTTGCAGTCCCTGGCATATCGGGTAGTGATGTTCCAGATGCCTTTGCTTGGATTATCCTGCAACGCGCAAGAGCTCTTGCCAACCTTGATGAGAACTGCCTTATCAGCCGTGTTGCGCGGGGTCAGCACGTGAATCAGGCCACACCGCCGTAGGCTTTGCTCAACACCGCGGCTGCCAAAGGGATCATTGCTCCGCGTCCGTGGTACCCGCAGGCACACTCTTGGAGACTTGGAGGTCCCTCCACGTTCGAGCTTGACCAGTCTGGCTCTGTTGCACGCTCGCTCTGCCGTAAACGTAAACACAACAGCTCGACGTCCGACACTCTGGGACTCCTCTCGTAGCACCGGAGCTGACACGCAGGACCCGTAATAACTTCTGTAAACATTTCTGCACATCGATGTGAACAGTCCTACAATTCCCCTTCCGTCCTACTGCCACGATTGGCTTCTGCCTCTTTAGACATTGCTGAAGACCTTTTCATTACATCTTGGGCGAGCAACAGCAGCACCCGTCCTTAACCCCGCCAAAACCCAACAGATCGCGGAGCTCACTGGGTCGTCCAGCGCCAGTGGCTTTACCTGCCCCTGGCGGAGGAGGCTTGACTTGAGAGAGGAGATCATCAGCAGCAGTGATGAGCTGGCGATCTTTGCGCTCGCCCCGGCATGCTTCCAGTTGCCGTCTTGCGAACTGTGGTAGGTGAAAGGGAGAACGACTCCTCTCCTGTGTTTCTGTAAAGTCGTGCAGGTTGTACAGGAGGCGCATGAGGGCCCAGGCAACGCTGGCATGCTCGTCGAAGATGTCAATCCTCAGCTCCAGGTCTTCGTTCTTCACAGCCGTTGGCAGAGCCTTCAGGCCGACGGTTGTGCACCCAGCAGAGCCCTCTTCAGGTCCTGGTTCTGCTTGTTCGGGTCCTCATTCTGTTTGGTCAAGAACTCTGCTTGCATCTGAGCCTTTGCCAGCTCCACGGTCTGCTGAGTCTCGGCCTTGCGCCTCTTCTCCACACGCTGCATCTCCGCAGTGTGTGCAGCAGCAAGGTGTTGTGCCACGGCGTTGGCCACCATGTTGCACGCAGCTGCGGCTTCTCGGAACCCCCTGTCCTGGAGCCGTCGTCGTGTGGCGTCTTGAGTGGCTTCGCCGGCATCGCGAAGCATCGGAGAGGCCACCCGGCAGCTGCATTTCGCAGCCGCTCTTACATGGATGAAACTCGTGCTGCAAGTCAGTGCTGGCATGAGTAGGCTTTCATGGCTGATGAGACGTCAAATGCCTTCCGTTCTACACATGCTTAACATGCTGCTGGCATGGATTGGCCGAGATAATCTCGGCAGCAGCTGCAATGCGAAAAGGATCGGGTCCCTGATCTGAGGTGCCCGGCTCCCCACTGAATCAGTGCTTGACTGTAAGACCCTCTGGGAAGGAATCTGTGCCAAGACGTGGGCAGCAGGAAGCCGTTTGGTTCCAGAAGCGAGTTTAAGCGGTCAAGGACCGCAGGCGCTGCCTCGTGCAGAGCCATCATCTTGCTGGTCTAATGACGCGTGGAGACCTGCTGGCCTGCTCCGCGTGGGACAGCAAAACCCAACTCCCCTGCAGCATGGCAGTGACCAGCGGCCCATCCACCTGCCAGGCAGGAGGGGCTCTCCGTCCGCGGAGCCACGGAACATCCGTGCAAAATGTTCTGTCCCCGTTCAGTCTGAAGCCGTTCTGGGGCGCACACCCACTCGAATCGTCCTGCCGAATTCATCCGCGCCCTTACAGGCCAAGGCTTCAAAGACTTCCTCAGAACTGAGAGCCAGACCTGGCTGAAGCTAGCAGCTGTGCAGCCTGGTCCAGAAGCTCCCATGGTGTTTCGAACCTCGAAAAACCCGAAGTCCGGCCTGAGAGTTCTTCCGGCTCACCGCCTGCAACCTGAGTCGCCATGCTCGGGTTCAGCTCCCTTTTGGCCAATGGGCCTTAGAAGCCTTAGCTGAGGCCTCAGCTCCTCTACCAGCGCCTCAGCCTGAAGGGGAAGTGCTTCACATCGAGGGCATCTCAACACATCCAAGCTCATGCTCTTGCCTTTCCGATCGTGTCAACAAGGGGAGCCTCACCGGCTTGAAAAAGCGTGTCGTGAGGCAGTTCTGTGGCAGCATGTGGCAGCCTTCTGGTCCAGGCATGCTTCGAGCAGTGCGCTTTGCCTCGCAGCAGAGCCCGGCATCGCGAAGCCCAGACGTGCAAAAATGCACTGAAGCAACATGATGCTGCCTGAGGCATTGCTCGATCTTCTCGCAGGACGCTGCAGGCAGCTTCTCCTGCTGATCGGATTTGCAAGTCAAGGGATGTTGTAATTTCTCAGTTGCAGTCGTGCCCACAGCTTCAAATAAAAAGGCCTGAGATCTTCGAAGAGCGAAGGTGGTTGCGGTGACAAATCTTGCAAGCTGGCGGAGGAGGCTTCGCGCGTCCACCTGTCGTAAGTCCACTCGCTCCGTGGCAGACACATCCCGTCAGAAGGCGCCACGAGGAACCCACCTGCTCAAAACAGCCCAGAAGTTCGCTGGCGTCCATTGCGGGCGTCAGTGGGACCTGGGCCAAGTGCCCCTTCTCTTGCAAACAAGACCGAGACATCAACTTCGCCTCCTGCAGCGGCATGTAGGCCATGGCCTTGTTGGAGTCTCTGCCCGCAAAAATAAAACCTCTTCGGCAAGTTCTACAGAGGGCCCCCGGCAGCCAGCCATCGCACCAAGCTGTGCTTCCCGGCGCCCGGTCCGCCAACCAGCAGAAGGGGCCTCGGACCAGAGACGATGCGAAATGTTCACTTCTTCGGCTCTGGCACTTGTTTTATGGATCAGCTCGAATTGGAAATCTTCCTTGCCGCTGGAATCTTGTTGCGACGGAGGATTTCGTCCTCGCAAGCTTGAACCGCGGATCGTTCCAAGACAATAATATCGGGAAGGAAGCCGGCACCCCGACCGTACAGCTCAAATCTCAGGAACTCCTCTTTGGAAGCTTCTACCAGATTTGATAAATGTGCGATATTGCGGATCCGCACAGGCACCCCATCCACCTCAAAAGCCTTGAGGCGTGCATTCCGAACATCCTGGAAGCCCAGGTTGACTGTGTGTGCGAGAACATACGAAAGGACCACCACCTGTTCGTCCTGGAACTCTCGCTCCCTGGAATCCATGATCTCTGAAAGCCCATTGCAACGCTCTTTGCGCCACTTGTCGCCGAAGGTGGCACGCAAGTACTGCTGAGACAGCACCACGAACACGAGGCCACCGATTATGCAGTAATCGAGCAGCCAGGGAGCTTCCTTTTCAACGGAGACCAGAGGCTCTTGCGGGCAGAGCTGCAGCGTGATGGACAGCTTGCTACCTGCACGCATGATCTCGGCCTCGAGCTGTTCGCCGACAAACTTTTCGATGGCAACGTACGGGAAGGGGACACGATCGTGGCGAGAAGACCCGCAAACGAATGGAACGCAGCCGTCGTTGCCGATTGGGACTCCGATCAGCGAGAGAAGCACGTCGCCCTTCTGGAGAACTTTGGCATTCACCGTTGTCGGATCTACCGACTTGACAATAAGGCCACTTTGCCCAGTGGCCAAGCCAAGGGCACGTCTCATACCTGCATTTTCAAGCTTCTGGGCAGAAAAACGTCCATGCCCAAAAGCCGTGACTCGTACTGGCGGAACATCCTCGGACTCTGTACTCGCAACGGGCGCAGCGGACTTAAGCCTTCGCCAGGCTGTCAAGAACTTTTGCACCACACTGACCGGTATTATGAAGCCAATATTTTCCGTGGAGCCATCCTTCAGGGATTCATAGGCAACACCCACACAGGAGCCTCCTGCGACTAGCGCTGGCCCTCCCGAGTTTCCAGGGTTCACTGCTGCATCGATTTGGATGACCAAACGATTCCGCCAAGGATCTGGGTTGTCCTCGTAGTCCACCCGGCTTACAACACCTTTGGTCACGGACAAGTTGTCCCCGCCGGTGGGATACCCAACACAGACCACTTCAGAGAAAAGAGCTGGAACTTCGTTGCACAGAGTCTGCGCAGTGGCGCCTTCCCAGAAAGCCTCCTCGCGCACCGTCAGCAAGGCCAGGTCACAGTCCGTCGCTCGGGCAAGGACCTCCGCCTCGTACTTCTGGTCGTCCCCACGCTTCCGCACCTCCTGAGCTCTGAGATTGCAATCATGCCACAATGCACTGTGCGGCGACGCAACACGACCCTAAGTGATGCAAGTGGCAATGCAGCTGGCATGGGCCACGCAATGCCGATTGGTCAGCAGCAGCCGCTCTTGAAGACACAACACGAAGGCAGTGGAAGTTGACGACTGCTGCCTCACAGATCGATGCTGTGCTGTTACATGCTGTTACGCATGTTGATGGTGTAATGTAAGCGAAGAGTGTCGAGAGTATGAGCAATGAGCAGGACTTCTTGTCGTTTTGCTACTGCTGCTGCGGTCTGCCATACAGCCGGAGGGTCGGGTCAGGTGAACCATGGAAACCTTCCGTAGCAACATGCGGGTTTGTGGCAAGAAGTTCAGGGAAGATCACGGCACCGGCCCCCCTTCCAGGAGGATCCAGAGTAGTTTGTGCATGCAAATGTGGTTCTGGCAATGCTCTCCGCAAAACGAGGCTGCTGTTCTGACCTTGACCATCCGAGACCATAGCACATACCAATTGACAAGGCATCGTGTCATCTGTGACGGACGACTGCTGCAGGACTGGTTGAATCGAAAACGAACGCGACCGCTGAAAACTCCTTCGGAGTATGAGGGCTCAGGCTGACCGAAACTTTCCACACACTGCCTTTTGGTCGTCCAAGGCATCGAATAGTTCCTCGGACTTGGCCAAAGAGGTGACAATGACCAGCAAAGATTGCAGGAGATGCACGTATCTCAGCTCGTCCAAGTCTCGGCTTCAGCTCTCTGCAGAAGAGTTTGACGACCGATGTGCCTTGGTGCAACGGCATCTCTGTCAGGCTTCATTGAGCCGTCTGCTTCCGAACACGAAGGTGTTGTGTTCTGACGCGGTCTCATCGAGGAGCTGTCCAACGCTTGTGGCTTGTGGTTTCGGACTGGATTGCAGCTCAGGTACCCTCGAGCAGCACACCGATGTTTCCCCAAATGTCCTGAGAAAAGAACAGCCATGAGGCTTGGTTGTCTTTGCTCCAAAAAAGGCTCTCCTTGGGATTCTGGCGGTGGCGCTTCGTACTTCTCATGGCTTCGTCGGACTCATCTCCCATGGCCAAAAGGTCCCCGCTTGAGGCTTTCGGAGATCTGACGGCTGCTAGACCGTCTGGTCAACGAAGCGCACACACGAGCTGCTAATCTGGTGGGCACCCAGGCAAAGCCGCAAAGCTAAAGAGGCATGGGCAATTTCAGCTCGTCCGAAACTGCATGCGCCATGGCATGGACAACATCTCGCTGACCTCCGAGAAATGGCCAGCTCAGCTTAGCTCACAAGGCTGTTTCCCACGGCCCTGAACTGCTGCCTGCCAAAGCTGTGAGATGCGAAACGTGGCGAAGGTGCTCGGAGGCGCTGAAGCCTGCTCCAAGTCATCGTATTGGTCCTAGCGGTCCGCTGTGTAAGAGGGGCCTCGAAGGTCCTCGGCTCGGAGTCGTTGCTGAAGCAGTGCCGAGCCGACCTCAAAGTTTGAGATATCGCAGACAGTTCGTCAGACTCTCACTCTGTGCTGCGTGCCGGAAGACCCTTTCTGCGTCTGGGCGCTGCTGAGTGAGTCGACTCTTGTGCACGCTGTCCACATCTAGAGCTCTAGCGAAAATCTGGAAACACTTCAAACACATTCATCTGCTCAGACCAGCTGGGCATTCTTTAGCTGTTCTTTGACAGCTAGGCTATCACCACCGCACGATGTATCGCCCCAGGTGATAATGGTGCCATCCATCTGAATCGCTGCAAAAGCACCACCAGAGGCTTTTACATCTTTAATGCCTATGAGATGCTCCTGCACGCTCCTGCTGTCGCCACCAAAGCGGACGTCTCCCCAGGTGACCACCGTGCCGTCGGCTCGGAGTGCTGCGAAGGCGTCAGCGGATGCCCGAACTTCCAGGACGTCCCTCAGCTGCTCGCGCACCGCACTGCTGTCACCACCCCTTCGAGGGTCGCCCCACGTCACCACGGTGCTGTCGGACAATATGGCAGCGAAGGCATCCGAAGAGGCTTGGACGTCACGAACTCCCCTGAGCTGATGCTGGACAGAGCTGCAGTCGCCGCCTCCGCGTGCATCGCCCCAGGCGATGACGCTTCCGTCTTCTCGAACGGCAGCGAAAGCACCGGAGGAAGCCCGGATATCCTGCACTCCATGCAGCTGCTTTCGAACAGCACTCTGGTCACCCCCATCCTGAGCATCGCCCCAACAGACAACAGTACCGTCTGTCCGAATGGCAGCAAAAGCCCCAGCGGAAGCCCGAATGTGGGAAACGTTGTGCAGCTGCTGGCGGACTGCAGCGCTTGCACCGCCGTAGCGGACATCGCCCCATGTCACCACGCTTCGGTCTGATCGCAATGCAGCAAATGAGGCAAGAGTCGCCCGTATGTCTGTGACATTTTTTAGCAGCCCTTGAACTTTGGAGCTGTCGCCACCATAACAGGAATCCCCCCATGTTACCACTCGTCCATTCTCGAGGATGGCAGCAAAGGCGCCTGCCGAGGAGCGGACTTCCCAGACACCCTTGAGCTGCTCTTGGACTTCCGTACTATCGCCACACTGGTCTCCGTAGCCCCAGGCGACCACAGTGCCGTCTGCCCGAATGGCTGCAAAAGCACTGCGTGAAGCTCGGATCTCCTGAACGCCTTTCAACTGCTCTTGCACCAGGCTGCTGTCGCCACCAGAGGCCTCGTGGCCCCAAGTGACCACTGTGCCATCGCTGCGGATGGCCGCGAAGGAGCCCTTGCAGGCACAGATCTTCTGCACATCATCCAGCTGCGCTTGGACCAGACTGCTGTCACCGCCAGAGAAGCCGTAGCCCCAAGTGACAACCAAGCCATCGGGTCTGATTGCTGCGAAGGCATCCGTAGCCCAAGAAGATGCCAAGGGCCATGCATCTCCAGAGCTCAACAAAGACTCCCAGGAGGACGTCACAACCGTCTGCCGCAAGGCCGCCGTCACTGCCACGTCATCCTCCTCGCCGTCCTCGACGCAAAGCGGAAGGGCCTCCTTCAGTGATTGCCTTCCGATCAGCTGCTGCCCTGTCCTTGAGAACAGGGCGCTGATGTCCGTTTGCAGCTGCTCTTGGGCTCGTAGTCTCAACTCATTCACACTGCTGCTTGGCTGGCAGAGGATTGATGCACTCCGGCCGCTGAGCAGTGTGACGTGTACAGATATCGGCATGCCAAGGCATTGCCTGGCCCCCGACCCCTTTTATCTGTGCAGGCAAGGGGTCATGAGACCTTTGAGCCCAGCTCCCGCTGCAGATGCCGAGCTCAGCAATTGATGTTGGAAACATCGTGTTATGACATTGAAGCAGCCTGATCCAAAGCCGTCCCTGGGGCCATTGCCTGTAAACCGCCTGGTTGGGATTGCAGGCTGTGACTGCCGAGGCCTTGGTCAAGTTCATGAACCATGACAGACTGCCAGGCCTATCAAGGCCAAAGCCACGTAGAACATCCCTGGGAAGCGGACAGAGAACCGGAGTCCTGCTGCCTTGGTGCCACAACGCACCCAAGACTTTCAGTGACGAAGCAGGAAAAGCCTCAGGCTGATGCCCACATCAGAAGCCTGGTCGTCTGGTGATACCTGTGCATGCCGCAGAGCCGCTGCATCTGACATCTGACACATACTGAACTGGCAACGCCAACAGCTTAGGCATTGAAAGGCACGTGCAAGGCGAAAGGCACCTCCTCCAGGCCGAAGCCGCATCCGATGCGCAGCAAGGCCGCCGCAGGGAAATGCTGCAGAGCTCAGGAAGTCACGCAGTCCGGAGATCAACACGTCCGTGTCTCATCTTGACCCTTCTTGACATGCCATACACTCAATAACATGGAGTTTCCGACCTTCTCTCTTTCGGCGGCCGGCCGCGGGAAGATCCTGTTGCAGAGGAGCTTCAAGCACAGCTGCACAGTACACTCGCGGTCCTCACTTGCAGAAGGTGGAAGCAGCGAAGCTGAAATGCACTGGAATGCACTGCAGTGCTTCCTGGAGATCACACGCCGTGCCACATCACGATCCGTGTCACAGCGAAGACGGGACACCTGATCAAGACGTGGGCCAACAGATTTGCATGCTGGCTGGGATGTCTAGCCAATTCCCTGGCACTTTTCTTGCCATCTTCTGAAATTGCACAAACCAGAATCCGACACCATCGAAAATCTCAGCTTCCCGTGAAGCGCCCTGCATCGCTGTAGCAGAACACTGAGGTCTGAGAGCCTTGCAAAGAGAAGCTCCGCAGAGGCCTGGCAGTGATGGGCCAAAGGTGCTTTCGCCTCGGATGCTGGAAGCTTACAGGGTCGAGGAGCTCATGAAATACAATGGATAGGAAATGGTGGCAACACAACTGCATCCTTACTCTCACGACCACTGCCAGAGTCTCGCAGCTAGAATTTCGAACGGTGAAATCGATGGCTACAGAAGATGGGGCTGACTTTTGCAACATTTCCGTCTCGGGATGCCTTGGGCGCAGACACGCAAAAGCTCGCAAAGCCGCAAGGCATCGCGTAGATTCCAATCCTTGCATGTGCATTGCTGTTCCGCCATGTCCCAAAAAGATCCACATGTTGCGTTTCCACCGAGCAGCAAAGTCCAGGTGTGCTTCGAAGGGCCTCCCGCCTGTGCGCGTGATGACTGCACATCAGCAAGGCGTTTTCGTGCGGCAGCCCAGGCCTTCTTCACTTGCACCCTGCGATGCTACTTGAAGCTCCTCGACGAGTCGGACCTGTGCAAGTCAAAACTGCTCTGCTTTCGATGCCCGGAATTTTCCCCGGGATACCGTCTGGTCCACCACTTCTTTTCCCAGAGCGTTGCCATGGGCATGCTCGCCTGTGTCCAGGTGGGCTGCCACTGCGTGGGAGATGCGATGTTTCTGGGGCAGTTACATATGTGACGCAGATCCTGTGGTGACCTGCAGCGCGGCTAAGATGAGTTCAGGCCAAACGACCTGTGAAAGAACCCTAGACCAGCATGCACCTCTGAGGCTGCAGCAGCTGAGAAAGCACGACACGAGTAAAGCGGTTCAGGAATGATCGTGGAAGCCCTTTCCGTCCACCTGATACCACCGCCAATATGTGTTGCATGCCGAAGCGTTTTTGCTCACAAGCCTCCTGTGGCAACTGGATTCTGAGCCGCGAAAAGCCTGCACACATCTTTGTGAATATGCCCAAACCTTGTTGCACGTTGCCTCTTAGAGCTCGGCCTGAAGCCTGCATGAGCGGACACCGTCTGCCCAATTGCCGGCAAGAACACCTCACAGGGAGCCCGCCGCGCTCGCAGCAAGAGCGAGCATCCGTGCTGTTGCACCAGCCTCTCTGCGATGGTCCAGCAAGGCGTTGAGGCCCTCCAACGTGGCCTTCCGGAATCTTCGAGGCGTATGCAATCTGCAAGGACTTTCCAAGCAGTGGCAGTCAATGTTGCAGATAATTTCGCAGGGACTACACTGCTTAGCACGAAGCCGGTCTTGGAGCAGCTTTAGGCACTGCTGGACAGGCCCTTCTGTCTCTCCTGCGGTGCCAGGTTGATCTCATCAAGCAGGACCCAATCCTGAGGCACAGGTATCGGCCATGCATCAGGTCGTAAGATGGCCAGGTCTGATTTCAGAATCAACGTTGCGGCATTGGCTCTAGAGAGGTGAAGGCATCTGAAGGGTAGGAACTAGCGCAAGGTTCCGGAGATTTGCAACATCGAGTTTGTTGTCAGGACCTCGGGAGCATCGAAGAATGGGACCCTTGGGGCGCAGCTCCACGTTTCAGCGCTCGAAGGAGGGCTCCATCACTCCAGCGGAAAGCTGCCACCTGCACAGCCACTTCCATCGTTTGCCTCTAGCTTGGGGCCCCATCTAGGATCCTGGCATCACTGCCAGGCATCGGCAAGTCGGAACCCAACAGATCCAAACTGGGAAGCGGCTGTCTCGCTGTGGCCCCGCAAAAAGAGATGCTGCTAAGTCCGCGGACAGGTCCGTCTGCTCAGACAAATTGATCCGCAACCTTCGCATTGCATTGCCCAAACACAGAAAAGCGATAAAGGGAACGGTTTGCTAATACCTTCCCCGAGGCTTAAGGCCCGCACAGACGCCGCTTGCTGACTCTTGCAAGAGCTTGGACAGTGGCCGTTTTTCCAAGCCCCGGCGGGCCTCCGGTCTATGGGGCTTTGGTGACAGAGAAAGCAGTGAAGGTGGCGGAGCCTTCCAGTAGGATTGCCTTGGGCTGTTGCAGTGCGCGGACGAGCCGCCCTCAGCACCAAGGTTGCCAAGCCGATCTTAGAGCAGATCCCGGCGTCGTGCATCTACCGGCGCGGTGTTTCTCCAGCAGTTCTTGTCTGTTCGCCATGTCGGGACAAGGGAGGCCCTGAGGGCCTGCGCTCCTCTGCCGCAGGGGTGCAAGAAACTGGAAGCCACAGGCGCTGTCTCTAAGTCTATAATAACAGCTGCCGCTAGGGAGCAGCAATGATCAAGTATCGCCAGCTCAAAATGTCTGGCGGACTGTATCATGCGAAGCATGAGACTGAGAACTAGGAACAAGAAAGTCGGGGCGCTGATGGCGCGGCCGCCCTGCATCCTGACTCAGTTCAGTACACCTCATCGCCGACGCTTCTTCGACTTCCACGTCAGGCAGCCCTCCTTCGAAAACAAGAGTCGTCAAAATGCTGACAGAAGGGACCTTGCGGCTTTTTGTGTGTGATGCCTCTCCTCGCCGTTCGGGCCCTTGGTGCCGCGACGGCGGAACAGGCTCGCGACCACTTTCGGGTCGGCTCCTGAGGACAAGGAGGGTTCGAAAGACGGAACTTCGGAACGGGTCAGCCGCAAACGCAAACCAAAGCTTCCTCGAATTCCTTTCGAGCGCCATCGGGGCTCTCCGACCGAACAAAGGATGCCTTGGGCCGCGAACTGAGCTCGAGGCATCTCGAGGCATCAGGCCAACCAGTACGTCTTGCAGCCCAGAGACCGAAGTTGCAAGCCACTGGCATGATCCTTGCAGAGAACCAGCTGTCTTGCACACACAGCACAGGTCGAAGAATCCGAAGCCAAGTTGTGTGCCCAGCTGCCGCTCACCCACGGAGCGAACGAGCCCACCAAAGCGCGTATCTCCGACGAGAGGCCTAGCGATGTTGAGGCCTCGCAAGCAAAGTCAAAGGAAGCAGCAACGACAAAGAATCCAGATTCTCCTTTTTAGCTCTCCTCGGTGCGATACCTTTCTTTCAGCAAGCGGCTCAAGTCTTTGAAACCATGCTTGGCTGAGAGCTTGGCGCCGGCCTCACATAAGCTGAGTCCGGGTGAAAGCATATGCGGCGGTGACGGCATGCATTCAAGGCTCCTGGTTCTTGTCATGAATAGAGGTTCCTGCTCATTGGCGAATCAAACCCACTGCACTGCTGGGACCCGGCTTGATACCAGGCCTCGCACGCCATTCTCCGAGAATTCGAGGGTTTCGACGGTCGACGGGGGTGCTGACAAGACCAGGAGCATGGACCAGCCAAACCTGACACGACCCACTCGACATCCTTGAAGTGCCACCACTTCACTTCACTCCAAGCTGCCCATGCCCAAGCTGTTCCGAGAGGTGGGAAATCACCGTGTTGTCTCCGATGAAAGCAAACTGGTGCTGCAGGTTCTTCGGGATGAGAGTCTCGGCACGGTGTGCAATACACTGCAACACAGCCGCAGCAACATCGGAAGTGGCAAAATGAAGCGGACTTACAGTAGCTCATGACGGCGCTACGAGTAACACTGTTGGCACGCTGGACAAAGAGAGGCTGCAGCAGTGCAGCGATTGTCCTACGCTATGCACGCTCTCACACAGGCAAGCAGCCCGGTTGGCTTTCCAGAATTCTTCCATCACGAGTGCCTCCAAGGCAGCATAAAAAGTGTTGCTTGCATGCAGAAGCATTTGCTGCTGGAAGTGCCTTTTTGAGGTGGCACTGGTAATACTCCTCCTGGTTCACGGACTTGATGGAAGGGCACGTAAAAGAGTCCAAGCCGGCCTTCAAATATAGCTCCTGTGCTCCCGGAAGGGGAGCAAAAGAGAGGCCAGAGAAGTGGAGGACAACAGCTCCTGATCGAGCCTTCTCCCAACTGATTCTCAAATTCTTGTCCAGCTGAACCTGGAGCCAGATCCGGAGGTCTGGGAAAAACTCACCCATCGCGCCGCCTCCTGCGATTTTGAACTTTGCAACTCGCCGACGCGCGTCGTAGCTGCTGTCTGCCAACAGCTTGGAGTCTTGGAGGCCCCCGAGCAAAGCTGAAGCCATGTTGGCTGCATCCTCACGAACAAGCAGACTGCTTACCAACAAATACAAGACGTGTATCTTGATGCCGGACGAGTGCTTCCTGAATTGGGCGTGCTGCCCCGGATTTGAAAGTCATGTGGCTAGCTTCACCGTTTCACCTCGATCAAACCCGAGCTTGGAGTGGAATTCGGGTCCGGCTCCCGAGTATTCTTTTCTTGGCTCGTTGTATGGATTGCGTGAATGCTTGTCGTCTTCGACGGAGCATCTCTCCAATGGTCGTCTAGCTTCATTGCTGGGCCAGTTCGGGGTCACCGGGAAGGGCCCTGACACGTGAGGCTCTCAGGTTCGGAATGTAAAGCAAGCAAAACCCATCCGCGACTTCATTAGTCAGAATTGGAAGCGATGCCGCACTGCCGCACGTGACAAGTACACAAGGACACTTGCCACTGACTGTCCTGCCCGGCACTGCCCAGGGCCTGCACATCCTTCACCAGCGCATCCACGGCATCAGACGAACTCTGGCCGCGGCGCCCGAAGAAGGTGAGCCCAGGCCAGGTCACCAGCAGAGCGGCCAATAAGCGCACCACCAGGAGCCGGGAGCGCATGCTTCAAAGGACCCAGACAGGACCAGTGGTGCTTGGAGCTTGGACACGGCACTCTTCTGAAGGTTTCCAAGGGCCGCACAGAGCTAGGTGGCCTTACCGCGTGTTTTAACTTTGGGGATCCTACGACTTGCAAGCAAGAGTTGCTCATGGAAATTCCTTGACGACCTTTCGAGCCCAAAGGCTGAACATGGTACAGAAGTTATGAGTCATGCGTGGTCGCAGAAGGATGATTGCTCTGAGCAGCTCTCTTCGACGAAGTCACCGAGCACCACACCCACGTTGCATGCCGAGGAAGGCGCATTGAAGTCAAAGTCGGAGGCATCTCCAAAAAGCGCAGCGCTCACTATCGACAACCTACGCCATGAATTGTCATGAGCCTTCGAGTCAAGGGGCTAAGTGCTCAGAACTACCATACAGCACTCCACGTGTGCCTCCCAGTCTTAACTCCGTTTTCAAAGTCTTGATGCCAGTGTTTTGTCAAAGCTTCCAGGCAGATCAGAGTCTGAGAAATCTTGCAAGATAACAAGCAACTTTCACGTTTGTAAGAGCAGGAGTCACACAAAGATATGATTAATATCATGCCTCGCTAGACAAAAGTGGCGCCTTCAATTCATGCGGTGCCCAGGACTCTTCAGATTTCAGGTGAGGGTCTGATCATGACTTCAACTCGAGAGCCAATTCGTGAGGATCTGAAACGATCGAGGCTCCTTGACGAGTGGAGCTGAGCAGCGCTCTGTGTTTCTTAACGGAAACAGCGTAGATGCAACAAGTACTCGGTTTCGGTCGGGCGATGCTCAACTGCCATCATGCTTGCGAGGCTGCAGACTCGGTGGTAACGGTGGTACATTCTCTATGAACCCTGCGTCTTGTCGGTAAGCACTTCCCTCTGCACCACAGCCGACTTCAATTGACCCCTGCTTGCACCTTGGGCAGCTGTATCTCCTTCTTGAGAGGCCACCTAGGCCCAAGCTTCTTCTGTTCTTTTGGCCAAGCTTTTCCGGTTGCTTGCAGGATGCAGAAATGTCGAAGCCGCCGAAGTTCAGGACGTGCCCCTGGCCAGGTCATGCATGTGCTCCAATGATACGATGAGGCACACTTCGGCTGACACAGCAAAGGAGATGTGAGGGTTCCACTGCGATGCACCCTGCCTTTGGTGGAGAGTTGCGGTTGCGCACCTCATCGCCATAGGACTCGAGGAAAAGCTGGCAAACTGGAGAACGCGAAACGAAAGCTTCTTCCTTCCCTTGGAAGCTTCTGAGTTTCTGCATCGAATTCCATGATTTACTCACACAGCTTGTCCGAAAAGTGCTGAAAAGCTACGAAGAGCATCAGCTGGGCCTTGCACCCATGCAAAGCCGCCCTGGCTGAACACAGCTTGAACCTTTTCGCGGCCCTGGCTCGTGAGGTCCTTGGTAATCGATGACTTTGCATGTGACATGAACGGGACATTTACGAGTACTTCGAATCGGATACTCGCGCCATCAAGCCAAGCATCCTGGAAGAACTCGGGCCTGTCAAGTTGGCATAGGAGGTTCCATAGTATAGCCCGCTGTGCCACGGACAATCCACCACAATTCTCATCTTGAGAATCTTTCGTTTGTTTCTGGTACAAGGCTATGCATTCAGTGTCGACAAGCTGGTTTCCCAATCCCAAGCTGTCGACAAGAGTCATGCAGCCACCGTGCAGGTACATCTCGACAGCTCGCTCAACGCTGGCTTGCAGGGATTTTTCAGCTTTCTCGGGAGCTGTGCTTCGAACAAAGGTAGCCCAGGCCAGGACCTCACGAATGCTTAGAGGATGCAGAACTCGCTGGTTGAACCAGCTGACGCAGTCCAGCATGGGTCGAGCAAGTCGCGGCCAGGAGAGCTGGGTCGCCACTAAGTCTTCCGCCTCCTTAGTGGAAAAGTCAATGGGCTCAACCCAGATTTCAGTGAATCTGTTGCGGAGAGCTGGTGACAACTCTCTCTTTCCAAAGTCGCCACCCGGGTTCATTGTGGCAAAGAGCCTGAAAGTGGGCAGCGCCTGAACCACCTCCAAGTCGGCACCAGTCAAAGGCTTCTCTGCGAGCAGAAGCGAGTGCTCCGGCTCCAGGACAGAGTTCAAGCGTTCCAAGACTGAGTCTTCTGCCAATGAGATCTCGTCGACGAGAAACGCACCCCCAGATCGCATGGCTTCCACCAAAGCTCCATCGGCCCACTCAAAGATACGATCGTAGTCCCCACAGAGAGACACGAGATGCAGTGCCAAAGACAGCAACGGTACCTCGTTGCCCTTAGCAATCCTTGCATCCAGCCGCCTTCTCTTTGCCTCGGCTTGGTCGCCAGCACCCAGGACATTGCTTGCAATGGCAGCACGGAGCGCCTGACCCAAGTTCTTGGGGTTGCCCTTTCCTGTCGCCGCAAGCTGTGCCTCTGAAAGCAGCTTGGTAAATGCTGGAGACTCGGTGTCAGGCTGCGCCTTCGCCAGCTCCTGCAGCAGCTCCTGCAGCTTAGCGGCTGCTGTGCAAATCGACTTGAAAGTTGTGTCTCGACCACGGACTGGTCGAAGGGAACCGATGAAGTCCGACGTCTCCGTCTGCTGGTGACAGTTCAAAGTCCGCAGTTGACGCTCCTGAAGATCCTCTTCAACCAAGGCCCAAGACAGCAGCTGACATGCCATCGTCTTGCCACCTCCCGTTTCCCCAACTAGGAGGGCGGGCTCTCCGGACCGTATGCATCGGCCAATGAGAGCAACCATTCGGCAGAATGCCGGCGTCCATACAACCTGGCCGACTCCTCCAGGTGCTTGGCATCCAGCTTTGAGCTTCTGGGCCACTCGTTCCCGAGCGGCACAGACGACCTCATCCTGGCTGTAGTCGAGCTGCAAGTCCTTGACGCCCGTGCAGTGCTTTACCAACGACTTGCGAACGACCTCTCGCTCGTCCTCCTTCCGCAGCCTTTCTGCCAGCAGCGTGAAACCCTCTGTGGCTAACTCAAGGTACGAGTTGGGCTTTCTATGGCTCCATCGTAGCAAATCGCGCACGGTCATGAAGCTTTGCTTTCCCAAAAAAACTGCCGACTGGTTGCGATGCGACTGAAGATCCTGGTAGACTGCCAGCATCACCTTCACATATGATGGGGGCACCTGGCAGCGTTTGTGCAGGACGACCGCCAGCTCTTCCATCGGAAGCTCACTTACGAAGACTTCTGTGAAGCGGTTGCGGAAAGCACGGGACAAGAGCTTCCGGCCACCGTAATTCGCCCCAGCCGGATTTTGTGTCGCAAAGACCATGAACTCCTCGTGGGGCTTGACAGTGTTGCCGGTGTCAGGGATGTACAGCTCGCGGTTATCGTCCAGCAGGCGGTTGAGAGCCTCCAAAACCTCGCTTGGTGCCAAGTTCAGTTCATCGAGGACCACCCAATGGCCCGCCCTCGCGGCTCTCACCAAAACACCCTCCTGGAACACCAGCTGTCCCGTCTCTGGGTCACACACGTACTGGCCAATGTACTCCTGAAGGTCGGTATGCTCGTGGTTGTTGATACGCACAAACTCGTGACCTGTTAAATGTGCCAGGAACTTCACCAGCGAGGTCTTGCCCGCGGATGTTGGGCCTTCCAGAAGTATCGGGAATCTGCCGCCACTCAACATCCGTGCAATATTGTGAAGATTGCGGCGTACTGAGTTTGTAATCACGAAGTCCCTGTGTGCTGCTTCCACCTCAAGCTTCTGAGGCCCGGCCTGAGCCAGAAAACACAAGGAGTCGCGGATTCCGCTGCGGTTCAAGTCCAAGAAAAGCCCCGAAGCCTTGATCCAGTAGCCTTCCACGTTGATCCAGCCCTTGTCTGGATCTATCTGTACCGAAGCACTTGAAGAGGATGATCCGGCCTCAAGAAGCGGCCTACAGCTGTTTACGGGGAACCGCCGCTGCACGTCGCCGACTGTGCCTTCAACGCAGCTGTCTGAACGCTGGGAGACACTCCAACAGCCTCCGGCAAATTGCCAGAGCAGATGCGAGACCACGTCAGACTTCAGCAAGCCAGAGCAGGCTGTGGGCCTCTTGGATGTGGTCTTCCACCACCCTTGAAGATGAAAGATCTAGAGTCGTGGCCTCGCTGTGACGGATGCAAACAGGGGAAGAAGTCCGAATTTGGGCTGCCGGACAAACCCGACGGCCAGACCTTGCGCCAAGGCCTGATGAGGAAGCTTCGCAAGAAGGGCTAAGAGAATTCCGCACAGCCGCTCCTATGGCCGAACTCCTGATCCAGCCTTGATTGGGGGCGTCGCATGCTGCCTTGGCATGAAGAGAAACGCTTCCGAAAATTTCCTCTCTTGGTCCGCATTCGTGGACATCGCAAGGTGGTGTGGACCATTGACGGCGGGTCTCCTTGAAGCCTCGACTTCGACTCCTATTGGTCCTATGCATCTTACAGGCCAAAACTCATGTTGTACTCTGTGTTTGCGGCGGTCGCTTGGCGAGCCGCAGCGCGAAGCGCAGGGAGCGGGTCAGGTTCCGCAGGGAGAAGCTACAGACCTCAACATTGCACAAAGATAAGAGCACAGCCCCAGAACGAAAAACAGACCAAGGATGCTGGCAGCGCATGCAAAGCTGGGATCAACACTCTTCCAGCTCCATCGAGAAGCGCACTCTGGCCTGAAATGGCAGATTGTCGGCGCCTCTTTCGCCGCTTCCGACACGTGAGAAGCATGCCCTGGACAACCTTGGTCACCGGGCGTGCCAGTGACCCGGCTTTGCGGTAAAAGCCTGCAGAAAAATGAGCTCTCAAGATTCTGCTTGCATTCCACTCCTTGCCTACGATGGCATCCGCCGGCGGATTTGGGAAGTCATCCTCCAGGTAGCTGCGAACCTCGACACTGCAAGCTGCACGCATAGCTTCGCGGCACGAAAAAAGCTCCCGAGCTTCATGCTATGAGGCCCAAGTCCTCCGGTGTGTGCACCTCCGCGAATACGCCCCTTTGTAGTTCACACCCGACCTTCCTCTGCTTCTGCTGCGAGTCACGGCTAGCTTTTTCGAGCCGATGAGCTTGTCTCGAATCTTTGGAGACATGGTTCCTTTGCGCCGTGAAACGTATCAACGGAAAACTCAGACGTGCTTTGCATCCTGTCAAGAACGTGTAGACCAGCGCTTGGCCAGCACAGGCAGTTTGACAAAGTGGCCAGTCGACGCCAAGAAAGCTGTCAGTTAGCGGAATTCATGGATGGCTGTTGTCGTAGACCAGCTGGACGGCCCTGCCGCACAGTTTCGGTGACCAATTAGCAATGTTCCACAACCTGTTCCCAAAGCTGCTGAGCTCTATGCGATATCCCGAATGCCCCCTGGTGAAAGAGAACAAAACCTGGAAGAGCCCCTGCACTTCGTGTGGGGCAGAGGCAGTGATTGCGAGGCTTGGGCCCTCAGGGCCAGTTGAAACGCAGAACCCTCGCTTCCCCTTTACAATAGGCACTTTTCCTCTCCTCCGCTGCAGTCAAAGCTTGGAGCATGTTGCGGCAGTCTGAAGTTAGCAGCATTTGAAATTACCATTCCACCTCATCCACAACGCCATCCCAAGGCATGCGATGCAAGCCGTCGTCTTAAGGCCATGGATCGTGATGTTCGTGACGGCATCAGCAGCTTTCCCCCTCAGCGGCTGCAGAGCCACGCCAAGTGTTGCTGCCCAACATGGATTCTGGGCTTCCTGCACGTCTATCTGTAGTTCGCTGAGATTGATTTGCAGTATTTCACCTCAGATGTGACGCATCAGGCTTTACAGTGCAGCGACGTGCCCAATCCCAAGTGCAATGGCAAGGAACGAACAAAGCTGTGTACAAGATCGGAGTAGACCAGGAGCTGCAGGGACAAGCGTCGCAAAGGAGACAGCTGCCAGAGAGCTAAGGAGTGCAGGCCGGCGGGACAGACACTATGAGTTACAAGTTAAGCACAAGTCCATAGCCACAAGCCCGAGCCTGAGTGGCGAGCACATGGATCAGAAGTAGCAGCAATCCTTCAAACACGGCAGCCGACGTGCAGTTGGACACGGCCTGGTCAAGACACTTGCGGCAGGGCTCGACTGGCTGGTGTTTCTAGAATCCATGTGCCCTTCGAGCGGTCCTGCAGCCAGGCTAAACGTCCCGCCCGCGATGCGCCATGGACGGGCCAAGCACAGAGAAACACTGAGCCTTTCAAGCAAAAGGCTTCTGCGAAGCTCGCAAGACCTTCAAATTGACGTGGTTGCAGCCCGGTGGCTGTAACTGATCACGAGGAGCACGAGCTCGATCGAGGCAATGGCGAACAACCTCAGAGTGACTCAGACTCAATAGCAACAACTTGCCAGGGCCCTTCCAGATTCCAGTCCGTTACACATCTCCAACAAGCGTTTACATCTCAAAAAGGAGTAACATTCAATAACATGTGCTTGAACATGGAGCATGTATCGAACCACTCGATCTTCGTCCCACCACTCCTGCGCGGGCATGCACTCTTACTTTCAGCCGGATGCTTGTGCAACGCTTGCCTGGAGAGCTTCTGAATAAGCTTTCAGCTTGTCGAACTTTCCGAAACTCGCTTGTTCCTTCCTGGTGCAATCGGCACAGCTCTGTGAGAAGTGCTACATTACAGTGGCAGCTGCGCGGCACAAACTCTGTCACCACCAGGTCTTTGATCCTCCGCCAAGCCATGGTACCGCGGTGACATTCCAGTCAGCACAGAGCAGCTCCAGCAACAGCCAAAGGCGTGGTCCTCTGCTTCTCATTCCTGAAGATCTGCTTCGTAACGTCGCCGAACTGATACCTTGCACGGCTGCACCGTTCTGGATGCCCTGATCCTGGAATTTAATACCGAAACAGCCCCGACAAAGATGCACTCATCTTTACCTTTCATGTCGTGGTGTCTTCATGCCAGTTGTCTGAGCAGCCTAGATGTTGCAAAAACTGGCCAGAGTGGTTAATTCATCGGTCTTGCAGCACTTCGTACTGACAGTCGCCACTCAAAGTCAAATTTGAGTCTCAGAGCGCGGCTGTCCCTGGACATGGGCGACCTCCTTCGAAACAATGATGGCATGGAGCACTGCAGTCTCTGCTGCAACCAGTCGCAAGCACTCCTCGCATTTCTTCATGAGGAGCTCAGCTTTGCAATTTTCTGCGCCGTTGGCCCCGAGTCCCCGATGACACCTCGCAAAAGACAAACTGCCCAGAACTCGATCCCAGCCTGCTTTGCCAAACCTCATCTGGCAAGGACCTGCGCAGACAAAGCCGTGGCCGACCTCAGCACAAGATTGCCATCCGTGCTAAAGCACACAAGCGAAGACGTGAGGAGCATACCAGTACACCTTTGCAAATATCACACCATGTGGGAACCACGAAGACCTGGCAAGATTGGCGGTTCTTGCAGCTTCACCGACATGGGGACCGCTGGCCGCATGTGCCTTTTTCTTCAGATCGTGAGCCTGCAGCGGCCGTGGTTTCGGCGGAGAGACCGACCTCGGAATACTTGTGCTAATCAAAAAGGCGGCAAGGGCGCAGACTCGGGTGAGAAGCTCGGTTGAGCACATTGGACTGCGAGACCGTCTAGGCCATGAGGCTGTGGCACACTGCGTCACTAGGACTGTGACAATGACAGGCCAGGATGACCGGCACTTCTAAACAACTTGACGTTTACAAGTCTTTGAAGGGAGGCAGAGAGTCCTGACGCTGCTTGGGCAAAATAGCATCGGGAAATGAATTCCTTCATCCAAACTGAGCTGAGCCACAGAACTCCGACAGCGACTCAACACGGCCTCGTCTACGAAGATCTCTGTGAAGCGTGCACGAATGCCTGGAGGGAGCTCCTCGAGCATTACATCAGAAAAGACTGGCGGCACTCTAAGCGCAGCCGCCGCTCCCTTTCGCGCCTTCTTCCCGGCAGCTTGTCCAGCTCTCGACATGGGCACGTCTTCCTGTGACGGCCCCACAGCCCAACAGCACTTCGCTGTCTCCTGTTGTGCCGGCCTCACCCTCTGCCTCTGCTGGAGGAGGCCTGGCAGGGATTCCCCGCTTGCTGCGAAGATCTGCGAAGCCAAGCAGAAGAGAAGCGGGTCGGGCGGACAAGCGCGGCCTGACACCACGTCGTGTGAAATTCGGTACACTATAATACCGGTTTGTCACGGAACACACTACTAACACTGCATTTCTGGGCACCGTGCGGGTTCATGCACGCGAAGAGTCTGAACTCAGGATGTGGCCTGGGCTTGCACAAGACCGGTTCTTTCCGTCACGGCTTCCACGACACAATGCTTGGTGAGACCTTGCGTAGGAACAACTACTGTAACCACTGTTTGGGAGTCGTCGCACGAAATCCCACAACACCGGTCTCAGCTTCTTGGGGTGTGGCACCACATGCTCGTCACCGGACTCTGGCAAGGCAAGGTGAGATCCTGACCTCGCTAGAGATGCAGCCGGAACCCCTCACTTGCGTTCGGATGGGTACCGGACGACCTCTCTATAAGACCCTGCACACGTTGCAGAAGGTCTGAGGGTGCAAGGTTGATCTCGTCCAGCACCTGAGAAGCCGGGAGTGGGCCCTTTCGCCCGAGCCGTCTCAAGTGTCTCAGCTCAGCACCACCCAGGCACCGCTACGCAAGGCCTCGCCGGTGCATGCAGACTCAGATTACTGCCCCTCAAGGCCCCCTACGAGTGCATCCCCCCCTTTGTTTCTGCAGGGCCGAAGTGGGACGCTAGCGTCGGCCGAGGCTGGCAGCCAGAGTCCTCACGCGCTGCTCTTCGAGTAAGATGGGCTGAAGAAGCTCCATCTGGCCTTGTTCCTGGTAAAGGGTAGCGAGGCTTCTCAGGGTCAGTGCATACTCCTCATGAAAGCTGCCTAAATCGCCGGCATAGATGTGCGAAGCCTCCTTCAACAATGATTCTGCCTCAGCTATATTGCCCAAAGCTCGTCTCAACCTTGCCAAATTCCGTAGGCAGCCTGCATACTCGGCATGAGTTGTGCCGACAGAGCTTTCAAAGGCTCTTCGTGACTCTTCATAGAGGTCTGCCGCACGGTCCCTCTGATCCAGGTCAAGGTATGCAGTTGCAAGGTCGCTGCAGACCCTGGCATAGTCTTTGGATCCCTTGCCTGCTGCTTTGCCAATGGCAACTCGGGCCTTTCGATACATCTGGACGGCTTTCACATTGTCACCGCCTTCTCGATACCCTTTGGCTTTTTCAAAGAACTGAATGGCAGCTTTCGTAGTCCTCAGCCCCTTCTTTGTCTTCATCTGCTGCTCTTCTGTCTTGGCAGCTGGCCGCCCTTCATTGCCAAATCCGCGTGCGAATCGTGCCACTCGGTTAACTGCCTCTCTTGCCAAAGGTCCCGTGACAAAGACAAGGAAAGAATGCCAGCTGACGAGGATCACGACAATGCATGCAGCAGATCGCCGTGCGAGCATCAGAAGAAGATTTGGGGCTTCGGGAAAATACGTTCTACTTGATCTCTAATGACTGTTCTTCCGGGCACACCTTCATGATTCTTTCTGAAGTATTGTTCATGTAGGGTCTTGTTACAGAGAACGACTCCGTGAGCCAGAGGAATGAGGTGCAGGTTCGAGCATGACATGTCATCCTGCAGCACCTGGAGTCCAACAAACTTGGATTCCCCGATCTGTGCGCCTGGACGAGCAAGCCCTCTTTGAACTCGAAGCGGGGCGCAGAGCCTGCCGCGACCACCTCAGCACTTCCAGCACGGGCCGGTAAATCGCAGGCAGGCCGGGCCCGAGGCTGTGGATGCCTTTCTATGGAGGTCCTGGACCCTTTCCCACCTGGGCACTGCAACAGGCAGCAAGGAGGAGCCACTTTGTCATTCCTGTGAATCGCGCTCTGCTGCAAGGTGTGTGCCCTTCACACCTTTCGAGGCTTGAGTCACCTCGGTATTCCCCTCCCCCCCCCTTGCGCTGCTTCACGCAGATGTTACATTGACCATCGCTGACCCACGCGCTTCGCGTGGTCCAGAAATCTCAGGCACGTGCAGGATCGCTCAGACTCTGCTGGGCCTGGCATCATCTGTGAGGGCATCAACCATTTGAACACTACACTGGCCTTGGACATCACGCTTCCAATGCTGTGAAGCACCGAAGCCTCCGGAGCAGGCAGGGCCGGTTCAGAGCGTCCACACCCAACACAATGAGGCTACGGCCCATCGTCGGCCCAGAAAGTCCCCTCGAGCTTTTTCCAAAAGCCTCGCCTCAGGCGGCGAGACTTTGGGGCATCACTGACATCACTTTTGGAATCTCATAGAATCTCAAAGATGCCGACGTTCTTGCGCCGTGAGAAAGACTTCTCGAAGGTGGAGCAGAACAACTCAACCTGGTTCCATGTGAAGTCTTCGGCGCTTGCTTCGGAGAGGAGACACAACAGCTGCAGCAACCAGCTGAGCACCGTGACAAGTTCAGACATAAGTTGCATGACATTGTCCTGGGCACGACGCAAGCATTCAAGCAAATGTCACCTGTGAACTCTCAATCCACCTGAGACCTTCACGACTGGACGAAAGCCGCCGATGAGTTCAGTGGACTCACTCTGCTCGTTGAAATTGTAAACAAGGACCTTGCAACAGGCATTCGGCATCGGAGTCGTGGTCACTGGAGCTCAGCAGCCTCTTGGCCCAACAAACGGCCGATGTGCTGGACTACCGAAGTTTTCCCGGTACCAGTATCACCTGGGCAAAATGTGGATGTCGCGGCAAAGTACCTAGTCCTGCTCGCTTGCCGAGCGCCACGCCCACCAGCAGGGCAGGTTCGTCAGCTCGGATCGCCGACGCCAGAGCCTGCCCCGTCCACTCTCAGTGACTTTGTGCGAAAGCACGGCCTCCAAACAAACGAGATAACGGCCCGCGACAACGATTCCACGGGTGCTCAGGGATAAGCTTTTTCAGCGATCACCAGACTTTACGAACCGGAAGATCCGACAAGCATGGGCTCTTTCCGAAAACCGCTCCCCTACACAAGATCGGTCTCACGTCAATTCCAAGCTCCAAGGGCTCGAAGCCCAAACTCCGAAGGCAAATCACCCAACAAACGGTTGCTTACGCTGCGCCTGAAGAATGCGAGCATGGACGGATGTGTAGGCAAAGGGCGCACATCGGACTGCCTTCGGAAGCCGCAGAAGCTTCATAGGAGCGTTTTCCGTACGATTGGGCAAAATAAACTAGTTAACTAGTTTATGAGGCCCGGTGCTAGAAAACCTCGAGGAAGTCGAGACATCGCCGCCGAATGTGAAGAGCCCCGTGCTGCAGTCTGGGCTGGGAGCTGGATCTTCTCCTTGCACTGCAAGAGGAAGAGTGATGCTGCCGATCTGAACCTGAGACCCACTTTAGATGTCGTGGCAAAAGTGGGTCTTTAGGGGATTGCTGCGCCTTCTCGGGAGCGGAAGATAGCAGCAAGGTTACGGTCGGCCGCTCCTGAAAGACCAGAGGAGCTCTGACCTTCCTCGAGGTGCAGCGAGGTGCGACTGCGCCTGCAGCAGGGCCTCTGCGATTCCCGAGCCCAGGGACCAGATGGGAGCCAGGCCTCAAGTCCCGCGAGGCAACGGCAGCCGGTCACCCCAAGCCACCATGAGACCATGAGCTTTCGAGGTGAAGACACGACAGGAAAGCACGGCGGAGGCGGAGGTCAGCCACTCGTCCAAGGATCACCTCAAAAAGCCACACCAGCACCACACGACCCATAGACTCTCGCCTTCCCACGAACACTGCGCCTGCAACGCCTCCCTGAGAAGAGCGGTTCGGCTCTCTTCGGTGAAGCTAGGGCCTCACGCGGTCAAGACCACGGCAGAGCTGCCGTGAATAAAAAAAATATTCTACTGCAATTATGCAAGGGACTATGAAGGAGTATGCTTGCGATTTAATAATAAAGCAACTTTGAACCCCTGCAAACTGAGGCCTCTCAAAGAGGAAATTGCCAATGCACAGGCGAAGCGGCAAAGTCGACGAATGCAAGAGCAACGACGAGAGAGCATCCCTGCAGAGATACAGCACGGCGAATCCTGTGAAGCCACTGTGTATGCAGTTCTTTCAATTCGCCTCGAAGCGGTCAGCCCTTCCCTGCTTTCCCTTCGAGAACCGCTTTCCCCTCCTCCCACCCCCTGCTTAAAGGCCCCCGATTCTGNNCCCCCCCCCCCCCCCCCGCCCCCGACGTTCGTCGTCTCGTGCACTTGCTGTTCACCCCAGCCGAGGCGGACGGCGCGAAGGGTTTACAATCAGGATCAATGATTTTCACGTCATCTTTTCATTGCAAGCACTTATAAATCCAGTCCCCAGCTCGCCACTGAGAGTGGTGCACTGCACTGCACTGAACTGAGCAATGCTACAGTGGCAGTGGCACGGGAACGGTGCGCGCAATCAAAGACGGGCAGCTCGGCGCCAGGCTTAGC